GTGAAAGAGAAAGATAAAACCAACATCTACAAGTGTCTCTTAGGTGCTCAGAACTGTGTTAGTGCTTAGTAAATGTCATATAATTTATTCTGTACATGAATCCTAGGAGTTTATTATATTACTAGAGGCCCAGTGCACAACATTTGTGCACTCAGGGGCAGGGAGTGGGCTGGAGAGGCTCCTACGACCACCACTGCGCTCGCCGGCCATCAGCACAGCTTGTGGCTGAGTGGCGCTCCCCCTGTGGGAGTGCAATGATCACCGGGGGTGGGGTGTGTGGGGGGCAGCTCCTGCATTGAGCGTCTGCCCCCTGGTGGTCAGTGCACCTCATAGCAACTGGTCGTTCTGCCATTCAGTCCATTTGCATAGGACTATCCCCATTTTACTGATGAAAGATATGAAGTTTAGAGAGGTCACACAAAAACAAGTGCCAAGAGCGGCTTCAAATCTTGTTGTAAAATGAACTAATGAACAAATGGGTGAAAATAAAATTAAGAGGCAAAGCTGGGATTCTAATCAGATCTGGATGACCATAATAGCCTCCTGACTGGCTTGCATGTGGGACCTCTCAAACAAAACAGCCTCATCAGGAGAGCAATCATATCCTGGGGCACAAGTAACATCCTTCAACTAATAAAGTTATACCCAAGTTCTTTTGGGACAAGATGCTACCTGAGATGCTTTCGAACTCTGACACTATCTGTATTTTATCCTTTCCTTTGTGTACCAAGAAAAGGGAATCCTCTCTTCTTCTAGGGTCTCACACATGAAGCCCAGACATTGTTGGTCTTGTAACCAGATCCTTATTCAGATGCCACCCCCCCGGAACAGATTCCACCACATCCAAATGGGTACATCTAACACCTCAGATGACTCCAAAAGTAAATGGTGATCCAGTGCCAATTACTCTGACTGAGTGGTGCTTGGCACAGAGTCAGTGTTTGAGGATCATTTGTAGAAGGAATTGAATGGAGGGAGGGAGGATGAGTAGGTTATAAACCACAGCAGCTGATATTGTAAGATAGCGGACCTTTGGACTGTCCACTTTTCTTGCCATTTCCAGTCATCAATTTGAGGGATATAGAACAGGAAGAGGAAGGAGATTCCTTTTCTTGGGTATAACTCAGGAAATACGCTCTTATCACTTATCTGTTTAACCTTGTTTATCATTAGGCAGTCTGTCCACATCCCTAAACACACACTGAGATAAGCATTTCTGAGCACGGTAAAGAGACCCATCAAAAGATAAAAGCCTGAGGATTTGTGGGGCATAGCCTCTGCAGAGACGTCAAATAACTAGTCCAAGGCCTGGCTAGAAAGACCAAGCTCTATCTCAGCATTTGCCTCCTTAGAGATTTCCCAAGTCAGGTCCCTCCCAGGGTCCTGTCCTAGTTTAGGCTTTGTTCTACTTTTCTGAAGCAAGAATTCAAGAGCCTGAGAGAATCATGTGTTTGGCAAGTCCAAACTCCAAGGAAGAACATACACATTCAGGGTCTTTATTCATCAGTACTTGAGAACCAAGAGTGCATTCACCCAAAGACAAAAGACGTGCACTGCCTAGTCCACAAATGGGATAAAACCAGGACTGCAATATTAATGACCAGAGTGTTTGAATGACTGCTGTACTGCCACATTGTTTTTTCATTCTTTAGTGGATGTCCAGCCAAATGATCAGCAGCTTCACAGGGAGCTAATTTCTGTCACATTCAGAATCTCTCGCCAGCATGCAAATCACCTTCCTGGAGATACCAGGAGTAGCCTATCCATTTTATAGTTCCTGAACTGTGCCTCTCACCCAAGAACTAGGAAAAAGAGTCTGGCGTCAAGGTACTCAGCCACCACCCAGGAGCCAGGAAAAGACCTTTAAAAAAAAAAAATCCCACTTGATGGGACACAGAGGGAATAATACTATGCTACAATCTACAATGAAAAAGTTCTCTCTACAAAAGAATTCAGATTCCAAAGAGTACAAACCTTATGGTTTCACTTACAGAAAGTGCAAAATTAAACAAAAGTCTCCCATGGTGTTGAGTCAAGAGCTGCTTGCCTGTGTGTAGGAAGGAGGCAACAATAATTAGAAGAAGCAGGAGAGGGGCTTTGGGAATACCTGATAACCTTTTATTTTTATCTGTCTGCTGGGTGCATGAGTGTTTGCTTTGTAATAAAGCTGTAAACCTAAGGATTTGTGTGATTCTCTATGTCTTTTATACATCAAAAAAATAATGACAAATTAAAAAATCACTCTTTGTAGACAGAAAGTGGCTTATACTTGCTGCTTACAGAATCCCATTCGTGTATACTGTGCCAGAGACTTTAAAAAAGAACAAACCCATAAGCCTATTTTCTCACCTTCAAATGGCTTTTTCACGGTTTTCAAATCGAGTAAGAGAAGCTCTCCTCCCTTTTCTCCCCCCAGGTTGAATATCACTGAATTTCAGGGCCTAATCAAGCCTCTTTTTGCACTTGGTCAATCTTTGGATGGGCTAAATTCTGGTTATGGTCCCACAGAGAGATCAACAAAGAAAATTTTAAGTCTTCCAGGTCAGGGGCGGAAGAGAGCAGAGACACAATGAGTGCAGGCTACTTAGGCATCTTCCCCCGGATTACACAATGAGTTTCTGGTGGGGGGCCCTGTGATGCTCTGTCCAAGGACTATCTCTTTCCTACTACAGCTCCTTCCACAGGGTCAACTAATAAACACTCTCCTTTGGGAATTGAGGAAAAGGAGCCCAGGAAACATCACTGGTCATTCTCTGTAAAAAGCACACAAAGCAGTTGACAGAATTCCTCTCCAACAGGAAACCATTAGTCTCGGAGAGCCAGGAAGAGGATGAGGGAAATGCTGAGTCTGCAACAGGGCATTGCAACACAGCCCCGTGTTTTTGTGGAAAGGATGTTCGCCTAACCAAAACACAGTTGCATAAATAGACTCCACTTAAAAAAACACACACAAAAGAAGAAATGTAAAGCCAATAAGTAGGGAACACACAACCCTGCTTAATAATTTTCAAGTTCTTTCTCCACTTTCTTTTTATAGAAAGTAGCTAAAAATAAAGGCTCAAATTTGAAATAACGTAAGCAAGTAATCACACACACACACACACACACACACACACACACACACACTGGGCTTTCCCCATATATGGCTGCATTATTCTTTAGCCTTTGAAAAGGCCAAATGAAGAGATAGCCAAAATAATCCTGCATATATTTGAAAACCAGGAGAAAGAGCTAGAGGAGTTGATGAATGGCAAACAATTTCAAGGCTCAATGGGAATAAATAACACTGAGAGGGATTAGTTGCCATAGTACTTTAAAAACATGGGCACATGCATTTTGACACTGGATCCTTTCTATAAAGAGACTGTTTTGGCCTCTGGCCTTAGCACAGAGAAAACTACAACTGAGGTAATTTAACAAAAAAAGACTTAAAGAAGGAAACCAGTGCAGGGGCATGACTGAATATTTAATGAAGTCCCTTTTCAGTATAAAATCTGTAATGGCACATCTCAAGGTCAGAAGAAAGAGGAGGAGACACGAGAAAGAGAAGAGGGTAGGGATTCGAATGAGATAGGATAGTGTGAAGAGCAGAGGTGGGCTCTGGAAGACCACTTCCTTATGATGGAAGGTTATTATAATGTCTGTTGGGTACTACTGGAAATGTTTCTGTAGAAAAGATTAGCACATGCATTTCAAATAAATGCCACCTCTGTAAGGCAGGCTGGTACAGTGTCCTATGGTTTACAAAGCCTTGTAATAGACAATTCTGGACACTAGGTAAAGCACCTTTTACTGAGATGAAAAGTGAGGCTCAGGGATGGTTAGGAAGCTAACACAGGTCTATGGAGGGTGACTCCATGTAAGAGGGCTGCAGGAGTGATCTGAAGCTAACTCTTCCAATGTGTAGGTCAGGGCTCTCTCCACTCACAAAATCTCTGAAAGAGCACTGGTCAGAGTGCCAAGTTTAGGTCTGGACTGCAGCTTGTCCACTATCTTACTCTATGACTGCGGGCAAGTAATTTTCCTTCTCCTGATTCTCATCTTTAACTGGAAAATGATAGGGCTGTCCCAGGTGAGAGGAGGCAAGCAGAGGGGATGCAGAGAGAGATGGACCCTGCTCTCTGTACTGATCTATATGTCTGTCCTCAAAAGACTCTCGGACACTATCACCACTTCATGCACAAAAACAGCCTGCCTGTTATAAACTGACTGCACACATGAAACCTAGAGAAATGATTTCCAAAACTTAAGACTAGAAAATCTCTTCATTCCTCCAAAGACAGAATAAGAGAATTACTAAAAAGACAAGATGAATTTTAAATTTTCATTCCACTACTTTTTTCTTTTTTGCTCTCAGTGGATCTTTTTTAGGATGCTTCAGATTCTTTTCCTGAAAATACACCTCATTTTTTGTTGATGCTGCACATTTTCTAAACCTGCTTATAAAGGCTTTGTATTTGGCTATGGAGTTAATAATAATAACAAACAACAGCAACAAACATAGCAGGCATATTTACTGAGGGGCTGTGACAGGCACTCACTGTTGCGGAGCCCTTTCTATATATCATTGTTTATCTCTATAATGAAGTAGATACCACTGTCTCCATTTTATAGATAAGAAAACTTAGGCTCACAGAAGTTTAGTGACTTGACCAACGAAGACCATCTTAATAACTACAGAGCTATTATTTAAACCTCTGTCTGGCTGATTCCAAAGCCCGTTCTTTCTTTGTTTCCTCCATTATGAGACTGCTATTCAACATGCTAAATGCATCAAAGACGCTGGGTAATGCTGCTTGTTCGTGGTTTCATTCTGTCACCATCTGCAGAATGGGATCCTTTCCTAGTGATCAGAAAGCACTCTCGCTGAAATTCCAGGGAGGCTAGAGGGTATGAAGGGTGAAGAAGAGATGGTTGGGGCTGATGACATGTAAAGTTACCCTTCATACTTTCCCCTGAGATCAGGTCCAGAATTGTGATTTCATTTCCAAATCACTAACCTGGTGAGGTACAAGCCCAAGAGAGGTTGGAGGCTCATTCATGCGGTCATCACTGCTGCTGGCAATGGCGTAGCCCCTGAGAAAAGGAAATGATTAGAGTAGCTCATTTAATAAAAGTTTATGTTAACACATGTGAGGGTGATCTGGAGGCAGTCCATGTAGGATTTATAAGGATAACCAAAAGCCCCTTGGTAGACAGCGTAGAACTGATTTCCCTGGCAGGGAAGGTGGAACAGTACTAAAAAAAAAAATGCTTGAGTTTTGGAGTCAGAAAGACCAGAAGTTTCTTTAACTTCTCTGTATTTCAGGTCTATCACCTATAAAACGGAAATAATATGGTTGTGAGAAATAAATGAGAAATAAGTTAGATAAATTGCCGGGCACAATGTTTGGTTACAATAACTTGCTTATTCCGAGACAGTCTTATAAAACACCACCGCACATTTTCATATTGGAATTTGAAATGGAAAACTTTCCAACCATAACTTCTTGAGCTGATGTAAATGCTACCAAAGTGGAGAAAGGAGAAAGAAGAGTGAGGAACTAATTGGGCAGGAGAATGAGTACATTCCTTCCTGAACAAGGATGTGTTTGCTAACAGTGCAGAAGACATGCAAAACAGGACCTAATTTCAGCCCACAACCAGGTGAAACACGGCAGACAGAGGGGTCAGTGTCAGGAAACCCTAGAACCAGCTCTCTAAGATTTCCCCCCCAGATATTTCCTGTTAGGAGGCTACTACTTTCTCTTTAAAATTAATTTTTAAAGTTAATTCAATTTTGCCTCACTTTTATTACAAGATGAATTAATTCTATTGTAACTCATAAAGTAAGATCTTTTCCTTGCTTGGAGAAGGTACAGGATCCATATTATAATTGTGCTAATTTTTGTATCTTTAATATAAAATATATACAATGTGTTAAACATATTGACTAAAAGGCCCAAGGTCAAACTGAAACAAAGAATACCAACCTACTCATCTATTTCCTCTTATATGTAAGCCCAGAGAGCTACCAAGGTATGGAAGAATTGCAGCACCAAGATCTGTGAGAGGAGAGAAGCCCATAGAAGTAAACCAAGTATTTGCAAGAGAAGCTTTCTTCCATAAAGTGACTGCCAACCTCAAAAAAGGGTTGGTAGGCATAGGATCAGAAGCTGAACAGAGATACTGACAGACTCATGGGGCTAAAAGGAAAACTACAGTTTGAGGTCTGCCAAAAAGGAGGAACCATGGGAAATATCCTGAGCTTTGAGCTGGGGCTACATCCTCAGAGCAAAGGCGAACCAGAAATAGACAAATACTAATTACATTTAGGAATTCTAGGACTGATAATCCACTTGGCCTACCAGTCTGCCAGAAGGAAATGTAAATCACATAATCTCTATAAATGTTCATATATGGTATAATGTCCAATACTCAATCAAAAATAACCAAGCAGCCCAGTTGGTGAGGCTCAGTAATTGAGCATCGACCCATGTACCAGGAAGTCGCTGGTTTGATTCCCAATCAGGGCACATGCCCAGGCTGCAGGCTCGATCTCTGGTTGAGGGTGTGCAGGAGGCAGCTGATGTTTTTATTTCTCTCCCTCTCCCTCCCTCTCTCTGTAAATAAATAAATAAATAAATAAACAAACAAACAAATAACCAAGCAGATTCAAGGAAGTGAGACATTTAAGTACTAACTGGACATGTAATGATATTAAGAAATTGCCTTTAATTTTTTTAAATGTAAAAACAGTTACATAGCCCTAGTTGGTTTAGTTCAGTGGATAAAGTGTTGGCTTGCGCACTGAAGGATCTCAGGTTTGATTCCGGTCAAGGGCACATGCCTTTGGTTGTAGGCTTGATCCCCAGTATGGGCATGCAGGAGGCAGCATTCTGTCATCATTGATGTTTCAATCTCTCTCTCCCTTCCTTTCTGAAATCAATAAAAATATATTAAAAAATAAAATAAAAAAGTGACATATATACTAAAAAGATACAATTTTTCTGAATAACATGTTATGTCTTGAATTTGATTTAAAATAAGCCATTTTGAGGAGGAGAAAACATGGAGAGCAGTATAGGTAAATAATGACTGGCCATGTGTTGGTAATTATTGAAGTTGGATACTGTATACTAGGGGATTATTATTTTATGTATATATCTTCTTTCATATGTTTGAATTTTCCATAATAAAAAGGTTTTCTTAAAACACACACACACACACACACACACACACACACACACACTAAAACACCCAGTTTATGAGGAGACAATACACAACCAAAAGCCAAAGAAAACAATAGACAATAAAAAAAGACCCATAGGAGATCCAGATAAGAGAGACAACTGATAAGAACTTAAAGAAAAACATAGTTAAATGTTATCAAAGAATGAAAAAGACCAAAATCACAATTTTAGGAGAGAACAAGAAATGTGTAAAATAAGATAAAATTGAAATTCTGAAATAAAACATTTAATAATGAAACTAAAAACCAGTGGATGGTTTTAGCATACATTAGAAACAGAAAAAAAAAAAAAAAAATGAGTTAGTAAGTTGGAAGATAAGCCAGACCAAAGCAAAGAAAGGCAAAATGATGGAAAATACAGAAAAGAGTATAGATGATTCTAACTGTCATGCAATTGGAGACTCAAAAGAAAGAAGCATGAGAGAAGGGGCAGAAGAATATTTTAACAGATAATAGCTCAGAATTTTCCACAACAGATGAAAAACATCAAGACATGGATTCAAGAAGCTATGGGAAACACAATCAGAATAAATACAGTAGGCATATATCATAGTTCAAAGTCTGAAACCCAATCATAATGAGAAAAGCTTAAAAACAACTGGGGGGAAGAGGAGAAAAAGAAAATCAAATTGTATCAAAGGATCAGCAATGGGATAAATTCCTAATTCTGCAATAAAGAAAAAGGTAGCCGAAACCGGTTTGGCTCAATGGATAAGAGCGTAGGCCTTCGGACTGAAAGGTCCCATGTTCGATTCCGGTCAAGGGCATGTACCTTGGTTGTGGGCACATCCCCAGTAGAGGGTGTGCAAGAGGCAGCTGACAGATGATTCTCATTGATGTTTCTAACTCTCTATCCCTCTCTCTTCCTCTCTGTAAAAAATCAATAAAATATATTAAGAAAAGAAAAAGAAAAAGGTAGTCAGAGACAATAGGACTATACTTTCCACATGTTGAAATTCAATCTAGAATTTTATACATAGCAAAAATGTATTTTAAACTTAAAAATAAAACAAAGACATTTTCAGATATAAACAGATTTATTTGTCGCTAGCATTTGTAAAGGATAATAAAAGGTATTCTTCAGGAAGAAAGAAAATGCCCTTGGCTGGAAGCTTAAAGTCAGAAAAGAAATTAAAAGTAACAGAAAGGAAAATGTTAGTAAAACAATCACAACATCTTCTCGGGATTAAAATATATACAGAATTTTATATATTTGTATATATTTATATATAATTTTATATATTTATATATATAAATTTTTATATATAATTTTATATACTTATATATTTTATATAACCAACATCCATTCTCCACTTCTATCTTATCACAGTTCTATTCAGAGAGGCAATGTGCCCAGCCAAGGCAACTGTCAGAGTTCCTTGAGCTAAGAGTGAAAGGTCATGTGATACTGAAGTTAGAATCAATGAATAGGTCTTCCAAGAAGGCTCTTTAAAAGATGAGCAAGCCTCAGCTAAGTACAACTTTTATCTTTTGTTCATTTCTTTCTTCTTTTTAAAAAAATTTTCATTTATTGATTTTAGAGTGAGAAAGGAGAAGAGAGAGCAATGAAGGGTATAGAGAGAGAGGAGAGAAACATCAATTTGTTGTTCCCCTTGTTCATGCATTCATTGGTCAATTCTTATATATGCCCTGACAGGGGATCAAACTCGCAACCTTAGTGTATTGTGATGACACTCTAACCAACTAAGCTACCAGGCCAGTGCCTTTCTTCTTAACTATAACACAGAAACAACATTGAAGGTAAAGCAGCCATCATTATTATTATTATTATTATCATTATTATTTTTAACCACAAGGTGACAAGCATCAGAAAGAAAGCAAAGAGTGGCTAGTGAATGACAAGAAGGAACTTGAGTCCCTGAGAGCATAACAGAGCCTTTGTACCAGCCCTGGACTGCCTTCCTCTGAGCTCCTGCTACATAAGAAAGATAAAGCCCTGTTTGGCTAAGGTACTGAAGACAGATCTCTGTATTATACAGCCAAATACAATTCCTATCATATGTGATATACATGTTCAGGGCTAAGGAGGTAAAAGTCACTAATAAAATAAAAGCATGAAGGTCCTAATGCCCGTACCAAAATTTTTATTCTTCTGTATCAGTCACCAAACTGAACTAGGAAAGTTCAAATCCAAAAGGACGTGGAGATGTAGCTCCAAAGATTGCATGACAAGTTCTTCAAGGCCAAAAAATCACACCAGTTTTTTGTTTTTTGTTTTGTTTTGTTTTGTTTTAGTCTTATTTTTTGAGGACAGAAAGAGCAACACAATTCTCAGAAGAGTCAGGCTGCGAAAAGGCCAAGGAGACACAAAAACTTTCTTTGTTTAAATACCCAACTCACCCTTCTGGATGCTGCAACACAGAAACCATCAATTCCACTGCCAGGGCTCCTGCAATCATGGCCAGTCCTGGACGACTCACAGTGCACTGCTGATCCAAGGTCCGGTCTCTGGTTGACTACAGAGAGACAATCATTGACATGTGCTAAAAGGTCTATTTCACTCGACTCTGACTGTCTGAAACATGAAACTCCTCCATGATAAAGTTATACAACATAACCACATGCTCACTGTTGGCAAAGAACATTCAGCCTCAAATAATATAGTTTCTTTTCTTTTTTTATATTTAAAAAAAATATTTTTATTGATTTCAAAGAGGAAGGGAAAGGAGAGAGAAAAAGAAACATCAATGATGAGAGAGAATCATTGATTGGCTGCCTCCTGCACACTGGGGATGGTGACCACAACCCAGGCATATGTCCTGGTTGGGAATCGAACTGTGACCTCCTAGTTCGTAGGCTGATGCTCAAGTACTGAGCCACACTGGCCAGGCACCAGTTAAATTTGAATTTTAAATAAACAATGAATACTTTTTTAGTGTGAGCAGATATTGAATACTGCATGGGACATACTTATACTACAATATTATTATTTACCTGCAATTAAAAATTAACAGGGAATTTGTATTTTTACTTGCTAAATCTGACCAGCTATGAGCCATAGCCCCATTCTGCAGAAGCACATGTAGCCTAAAAAACTTATTTTGATACTACCCCATGAGGCAGTGTCTAAGCCAGCACTAAAATCTGGGTCTTACTCCCCATTTAATCTCTCTTCAGTAAGATACACACAAGAGACAGTGCTATGCACTGACAGGGACTGGTCCATCCTATATTTTCTTGTTGGGCTTTGCACAAAAATGGTCTGTCATTGCATTTTTATTGGTGAACAGGGAAAAGCTGTACACAGTTGATGATGCCAATGAAGGCTTACAGTGCAGAAAATTATGAAAAAGTCATAAATTTCCTTTATGACTATTTACAAATATTTCAATAGTCATAAAGGAAAGAGATGAGTCTCTTTAGTCTAATGGACAAGACAGCTATAGGAAATATTTGGAAACACAAAGAAATTCACTTACATCTCCCGGGGCCACCACATCATTGCAGAAATAACAGCCAAGTTTGTAACCAGGAATGTTGGCAAAAAGCGACGAGCCCAGGTCTGCAGGTGCCACAGGGTGGCTGGGACACAAGTCTCCAGCGCCCTGATGCTTAGGTTTCTTCAGGCCATGCCTCATGACAACAAATGTGTCAAAGCCCAAGGCGGCATTGATGACCAGCTGTCAAGGAATAAAAGACTAGAATTAAAGAGACGCATATTTTAAAACATGGTTAATTTCATATTTGGTCAACTTTTAAAATGTATTTTGTAAGTATCTGCATGAGTGTAATTAGATAATAGAAGATAATGTTGGTAAAAGTTACCCAACACTGAGGGCTTATTAAATGCAAAATATTTGACAAATGATTTACATACATTTTTTCTTTCAGTTTCACTTAAAACTCCCAGTAAACATTTTCTATTTAAATATGAGGATAATGAAAGTCAGAGAGGTTACCTCTATAACTTACTCAAAGTCACTTAGCTAGTAAAAGGTAGGTGTATAAAACCACATTTTGATATTTCCTAAACACCTTCTTTCCACCATTATTCTATGGTCTGTCATGTCTACATAGATTTTTCTCATAATAGCTTTGAGATATAATTTATATACTATACAATTCACCATTTACATAGATTTTTAAGAATAAATTTTATTTTTACTTATACTATGAGAACTTCCCTTAGTTGTAATTTAGCTTATTCTCTCAAATTTCTGGTTATTTAGAAAGTTGGGGGGGGGGGGGGGAAGAAACAATACTAGAAAAGAAAACACACAAAAAACAAACACAGCTAAACTAGTTACTATAATAATTTGGGGAATTTCCTCCTATTATTTTTCCTTTTATCTCCCATTCCCTCTCTCCCCCTTCCTCCCTTCTTCTTGCTTCCTCCCCACTTGATAAACAGACATAGACATAAACATTTATATTTAAGCATAATTGACATAAAATATATACATAGCACTTTATCTTGCTCATTTAACATAATGTAGAATTTCCCATGTTATTAAAAATTCATTGAAACATAACCATGATTGGTTGCATATTACTCCATCACTTGGTATGCACCATGATTTATTTAGCCATCAAAATAAGTGAATGTGTCACTGACCAAATAGTAGTGAATAAGACCTCCTTGGAGCTTACATTTTTGTGTGAGTACCTTTTCTAACCTTTTGCACGCCGCTGTCCCCTCTCAGGGGACATCAGAATTCTAGCATATCACTCAGATGTCCCCTCTCAGGGGACATTGCAGTTTATTAGTGATTACGGGGAATTGAGTTATTTCAACGCACGTTTCCGCCACAAAGTAGCGTCAAGTAGCTGGTAGCCAATGTCCAGAATGGTTCGGAGTGCAAAGGGTTAATATAGAGTACCCCAAAGGGCTATGAAAATTAAAACAGTGAAGGATAACTATTATGTTGGATGATGGTTGAGAGGCAGATAATCTGCAGTGGAAGCCCTTTTGCACGGTGTCAGACATAAAGCACATGTATTTTCTGGAGAGAAGGTGGACTGAGGACTTCTTCCTCTAGGATGATGGTGCATTAAATCACAACCAGAGACAAAAGCCCCAGCACCTTTACCTTTCTCTTGCTCGCAGCAATGACGGCAGGAAGCCACCGGCTCTCCCTGGTGTCCATCAACAGAAAGATAACATCATGGCTTTCAATGAGCTGCTCCAGTTGCTCCACATCCCTGCGGGCTTGCTCCAGAGTGATGTTGGAGAAGTTCACTGGATGTCCAGGCATGGGGATGCTCATGTTGAACCCTCTGGCATTCTAGGGAAACACCCAGATATACAGATGTCTGAAGCGGAAGTATAGTTAGTATCTCAGAGCCCATGTCTCCCCAAGCTACAAGCATGTATGTATGGTCACTTGCAACTAGCAATTTCTCCATGCATAATTTTGCTGCTTTCTTCTTTTGCTACCTGTGCTGTCAAGCTTCATTACGTCTATATCCTAGACCTCCTTGGCTGTCACCACAGGGTCCCTAAATCTGGATAAAGCAGCAAACAGAGAACTATGGATACTAGTTTCAAAGTGGGTTGTAGGGGCACTTCCTAAATGAGGCAAGAATCCTGAGATAACTGTTTATCTTTTGCTCTTCCTTTAAATCTGAGGCCAAAAAACTTCATCCAAGTGTGCTCTGCCTGTACAAATCCCTTCTGCCCCAGTAGAGCTGTCTCTTCTGACTTGTTTCCAGCTTGCCCTCTCTCCATTTTCTTAGTGTATAACATCTCCAAATGGGATGTTATAACAAAAATCATTTTATTTAATAAATTCACGTAAGATCAGAATGACTGCTAGTCTTGCCTTAGTCTTCTCAGGGTTATTCACACTTAAAAAACACACACTTTAAAACCCAAAACCATACTTGCTAACTTCAGCCAGAAAAATCTATAAATCTATTTATTACTGTGCAGATATTTGTTTGGAAGGTGAGGGAGTTAAGATGGGGGGAAGGGGAGAGTTGATAACAGCATGTGGTAGTAAAGTGAAGCCGCCTGCTCTGTCCAAAAAATAGAAGTTGGCTGGTGACCTGGGCTTTCTTCAAGGGTGGGGATTAATGTTTTTCACAGGGGCTTTAACATAGCTCTGAAATTTACCATTTGCCCCCTGTGGGCCCCAGAGTGTCTTGGCAGATTAACAGCGAGACATATAGGTGCCAAAGAAGCTGGAGACATTAACTTTTCATAGAAATAAATTGTTCTGGAATCACAAACTGCGCTCTTAATCCCCTGATAGAGCTGGCCACAGGGAAGTTTGTGAAAACATCGTTTTTTCATTCCTTTGCCAAAACCCCTTACCTACTAGAAAAATAACTCAGGGATCAGGGCAAGTAGGTCCTGTTACAAAGGAAAATCTATTTTGTATACTGTAGCTATTTTTCTCCTAATCTTAAACTTTAAATCTAATCTATGGAATTCAAGAAAGGGACAATAGTGACAACAGCAACAATTTTTTAAAAAATTAAAAAGAAAAAAAAGTGGCAAGCAAAGCAGGAAGGAACTCCAGGCAGAAAGAAAGGACTTCAGAAAGAATAAACATTCAAAACAAGTCCACTTGAACAATGAAAACAGCACAAAGACAATTCTTAGGACCTCATTCGTTCATCCATTAAGTATGGTACATCTAGGAAGTACTATAAAAAACAATAAGAAAAGCAACAACCACAGTAATAATGTTGACAATGGTGATGATAACTTACTGTCTTATAATTGACAAAGTATATTAAATGGTGGTAACTTGGTCCAAACAGGTTTTATTTAGGTATTTTACTGTCACCAAGACTGAAGCATAATTACTCAATACTAATGCTAATCTATCCTATATAATAAAAGCCTAATTTGCTAAGAGTTCGGGTCGTTTAGTTGGCCGTTCAACCAATCAAAGTGTAATATGCTAAGGCTGCTCAACTGCTCACTGTGATGTACACTGACGACCAGGGGGCAGACAGTTGACTGGTCAACCAGTCACTATGACATGCCCTGACCACAAAGTGGCAGATGTTCCAACCAATAGGTTAGATTGCTGCTGGAGTCCAGCCGATTGGGACTGAGATGGGCCAGACATGCCCTGGAACACCCCCATGGTCCTTCTCTGGCTGCCCAACCTCCCTCCAGCCCTGCTCATGCACCAATTGGGTCCTTCGGCCTGGCCTCGTCCTCTCACAAACTGGGACCCTTTGGGGGATGTCAGAGAGTCGATTTCAGCCAGACAGTGGAATGACCAGTCTCTATAATGCATACTGACTACTAGGGGGCAGGTGCTCAACACAGGAACTGCCCAGAGAGTTGTGTGTGTGTTTTTTTTAAATTTTATTTATTGATTAAGGTATAAATGTGTCCTTATCCCCCCACTGCCCTACCCCCACCCGCACTCATGCCGTCACCCCCCTGGTGTCGGTGTCTATTGGTTATGCTTATATGCCTGTATACAAATCCTTTGGTTGATCTCTCCCAACCACCCTCCCTTACCTTCCCTCTGAGATTTGACAGTCTGATCGATGCTTCTCTGTCTCTGGATCTATTTTTGTTTATCAGTTTATGTTGTTCATTATATTCCACAAATGAGTGAGATCATGTAATATTTATCTTTCTCTGACTGACTTATTTTGCATAACATAATGCTCTCCAGCACCATCCATTCCTAATTCCGGGCTTTTCCTTTGTCCATTTAAACTGGAATCTCTCAGCCACCAATATTTTCTAAAACTCCCCAGATGATCAATTGTGTGGCTAGGGGACAAGATATAATTTACAGATAGGGTGAAATGCACCAATCTCAAGTGTATAGTTCAGCGAGTTTTAAAAAACTGCAGGTTAACCATTGTAACACACCTGTAAAGATACAGAACATGCTCTTGAGCCCCTTCCCAGTCAATCCCCACTAGGAAGGCAGAATGTATTGACCAACCCCACTGCCTTTGTGTTTTTTTTTTGTTGTTGTTGTTTTTTTGTATTTATTAAATTATTATCTGTGTACATATTTTAACATTGCCCCCCCCCCACATACCCTCCCTCCCCAGAGTTTTGTGTCCATTAGTTGTACTTATATGCATGTATACAAGTCCTTCGGTTGATCTCTTACCTCCCCCAGATCTCCCTACTCTCCCCGCTGTAATTTTACAGTCTGCTTGTTGCTTTACTGTCTTTATATCTATTTTTTGGTTTGTCAGTTTATAATGTTTTTTGATGTCCATAAATGAGTGAGGCCATGTGGTATTTCTCTTTTATTGACTGGCTTATTTCACTCAGCATGATGTTCTCTAGTTCTATCCAGGTTGCTGCAAATGATGAGAATTCCTATTTTTTTTATGGCAGCAATATTTCATTGTGTAGATGTACCATAGTTTTTTGATCCAATCATCTGCTGACGGGCACCTAGGCTGTTTCCAGATTCTAGCTATTGTAGATTGTGCTGCTATGAACATAGGGGTGCATATATCCTTTCTGATTGGTGTTTTTAGTTTCTTGGGATATATTCCTACGAGTGGGATTACTGGGTCAAATGGGAGTTCCATTTTCAGTTTTTTGAGGAAACTCCACACTGTTCTCCACAGTGGTTGCACCAGTCTGCATTCCCACCAGCAGTGCACGAGGGTTCCTTTTTCTCCACAACCTCGCCTACACTTGTCGTTTGTTGATTTGTTGATGTTGGCCATTCTGACAGGTGTGAGATGGTACCGCATTGTTGTTTTGATTTGCATCTCTCGGATAATTAGTGACTTTGAGCATGTTTTCATGTGCCTTTTGGCTTTCCTTCTGTCTTCTTTTGAAAATATTCTATTTAGATCCATTGCCCATTTTTTAATTGGATCATTCATCTTCCTTTTATTTAGTTGTATAAGCTGTTTATAGATGTTGGAGATTAAACCTTTATCAGTGGTAACATTTGCAAATATGGTCTCCCACACAGTGGGCTTTCTTGTTGTTTTGTTGATGGTTTCTTTTGCTGTAAAAAAGCTTTTTATTTTGATGTAGTCCCATTTGTTTATGTATTCTAGATAAAAATGTTTGTCAAATATACATACTATGAGTATTTTCTGTTTTGGCCAGCCTTTTCATTCTCTTAATGGTGTCTTTTGAGAAGCAGACATTTTAGATTTTGATCAAGTCCAAGTCATACATTTTTTCATTATGGTCAGTATTCTGGGTCCCAAGAAATCTTTGCCTATCACAAGATCACTAGATGCTTGCTCCTAGAAGCTTTGCAGTTTTAGTTTTTATGTTTAATTCTATGGCCTTACTGGGGTGCCATGTAAGGGTTTCGAATATTCAATAAGGTCTCTTCCTTCTGGATAGGTGGGAATCCAATATCTCCCAGCTTTATATCTCTGGTATCTCCATCCTCACAGCAGGAATGGTGGTACTTTTTTCCAGCCTTACAGAGTCATGCCCGGAATCAAGGTGCTATCCCAACCAATGGTCCACAGACCACTGGTGATCTGTGAGGTCCCAAAGATTGGCGACCGCTGATCTAGACCTCCTTCTATGCACAACTCTGGAAGTCCAATACTCTGTCCAAAAAATACCAGCCACCTTAGCTGCTCTGAATTCTGATCTCAGTTTCCTCAGCTCATCAAGACCAAGAATATCCTATGAACTCTGAAACGGGCCAGAAAATGCCTTTATGCAATAAGTTGGGACAAGCATTTATTCTTTCCCTTCTGTCTGGGACCACAGTCTTTCATTGCCTGCTGTTCACTGTCTGAAAAAGAGTCATTTTATGTATTCCAGGTGCATAACTGTTTATGATAGGAGAGCTAGTCCATTATCAGTTACTTGTCAAGGTTGGAGGCAGATATTCAGAGCTGGGTTTTTAAACCTTTATTGCGGCTCTATGATTCTAAATTTTATTGCCTTGCATTAAAAAAAAAAAAAATGGTAACCTCACTGCCCCGCAGCCCTGCCCTCTGCCCACTGGTGTTTCTGGAAGGAAAAGGTATTTCCGCCATCTGGTCTAATTAGCATATTAGCTCTTTATTATATAGGGTTACTTAATAGGCACGAAGGATAAAAGTATAGGAGGCCTGAACTCCTGGGCTCAAGGACTTAATAATCCAGCAGGGATGGAAAAGCAGAGAAAGCCTTGATCTTGGTGGGCTGATGTTTTCAAGGGAAGGTGAACTTGATCACTAAGGGCCCAAGATGGTTTGGCCCTTGCTTTTGCTCAGCCTCTTGTCTGTCCTCTTTGACCTTTGTGCTTCAGCCATCCTGGCTTTCCTTCAGTTCCACAGAAGCCCACGCTGTTGACCACCCCAGCTGTCTGCACAGATAGCTCTGCCACAATTAGTCTAGTTAACTCTACTCATCATACAAGACTTAGTTTCCTCAAGGAAGTGTAGTCTTGGTCAGGCCTTCCTCTTAAACATTCTCATGGCAACTGAGCTCCTGCTTTTGGTACTTATTACAATTATAATATTTTGTGAAATTAGTTGTTAATGCCTGTCTCCCCCACCAGACAATAAGCTCCAAATAAGGAAGAGGAAACTTTGGCTGTTTTGTTTCCTAATCCCAAGCACATGGCCTTAAATATTTTGATGAAAAAATAATAGGATAAACAAATAAATAGGGGGTGACTGAGCTGGCTGATAGACAATGGCTAGTATTTGAGTAAACCAATATTTCAGGCAACAATTAAGTGGCAGAGCTCAAATTCAAAGCCAGATCTGTCTGGACCCTAAGGGGAGTTCATAATACTCATCAGTGATAGACTGGATTGTTCTTCTCAACTATGTACTGCCTCCCTCTAATAGAATTATTCTTCCATGCCCTTTGCCATATGACTTTGCAGAACCTCCCACTAGAAAGGCAGAATGTATTGACCAACCCCACTGACTTCGAATGTTGCCCTGTGAATTACTTTGGCGATGGAGATGGAGGACGTGGCATATTGCTATTATTGAGCTGAGACTTTAAGAGGTATAAGTATGGTAAGTTTTTGCCCATGCTTTTACACTTCCATTTTCCACCATAAGAGCAGGATCAGATGCCTAATGCTCCTTGGCCTAGATTTTGAAATAATGACATACAGAGCAGACTAGAATCCGATTTGAAGCTTGGAATCCAGCCTAGAGCCCAGCAGCTAAACCATAGTTAACCTACACTCCTGTAAGCATGAAATAAATATTTATAATTGTAAGCTACTAAAATGTTGGAATGTGTGATATACAATATTGTCACAGCAGCAATCTAACTCATATTTCTTCTTAATGACAGGGTTGTAATTTATTCTTATATCTTTTGGCATCCAATAACCTAGCTGGATACATAGTGGGTGCTCAATCAATACTGTTGAATTAAACCCAATAAATGATATTCCTCAGATATATTGGTCAAGTGAACAAAGCCATCAAAGTTACTTCTAAAGCAAAGACATCTAAAATGAATGAATTATGAGTGACTAAACAGAGAAACTCTGATAACATGGGCTCTCTTTTATCTCTCTCTCTTTCTCTCTATTTCTCTCTCTTTTTTTTAGCTAGGGCTGAGTCTCTTGTGGCATTTTAAGTATAAGCAGATGCTTCAGAGATAACTAATCTAACCTCTGCCAGGTAAATTGATTAAGCATGCAAGATGCAGAATCTCTTTTGCAGAATGATGCAGGGGGGGAGGGGGGACGATGGGACTGACAAGATTTTGAACCAAGTGAGTTGAATGACTTGTCTACTATTATCTGGTGTTTAAATGATCAAACTAAAAAATAAGAAGCAGCTAGAGTAAAAAGCTAAACATTTAGTTCAATCTTTCTTCTGCACAGACTTATATTCAATTTAATTTAATAATCTTGTTTTAAGTAACTATCTGTGCATTCTGATGAAGAAGGAAAAATAGTATCCCACATCTGCCATCATAATCCCTTTGGAATAAGGCAGGATATAAAAATATACATACTCCCAGAATTCCTCAACTTAAAGTCAGATAAGGCACTGTAACTTACAAAATATTTTTTCATTTCTCTATACAATAATATATTAAGCTTTGTTTTGTCTTTTAATCCCCATCTCTGTGATGGGGAAACAGGGGTTCAGCCACGTGTTGAAGGTCTGGTGGTGATAGATATCTGAATGTCTTTCACTAATACCATACTGCCTTATTCCCCAAGACTTAAACACTAAAGATACAGGAGCAACCTGTGACATTCCCAAACAGCATCAACATACCACTCCGGGGAATATTCTCTGGAGCCGGTCTGCTGCAGCCAGGGCCTTGGGCTTGCCACCTGTGAGGCAATCTTCAAATTCATAGAGAGGCTGCCGCACAGGATTGGAGTAGGAGATCTTGGCATTGTCCACAAATGTGATGTGTCTGACGCCCCACCCCTGCATGGAAACAGGATATCATAGTGTGTTTCTGATGAACATTTCACGGGGTATCTCTCTTGAAATACCTAAAATGGGTTTGCTCTGGAGCAGCTTAGGGACCTCAAAATATACAGAACTTCAGAAATTAAATTGTGTAAATTCAGTTTTTTATAAATAGAATATCAACTTCCTTTAAAAAATAAAAATAATCATATAGCCAAGTGCCTGGTTTCCTGTAGAAATGAGACTAAGAAATGTCAGAGTTGCTCTAACCAGTAATTCATTACTTTTGACAGTGGCACCAGAAAAAGATTTAGAGGTGAGTCTTATAAAAACTGTCCATGTTGCTATCTTAAAAAATTAGCAATAACCCCCAATGTCGTTGCTTTCCCTTAAGGAATAATTTTATAAGTATAAATAACAGCTCATCTTAAAACTTACTTAAAGCTTAAATTAACATCTGGGGAAAATTACTTACAAGTTATTTCCCACTAACATTGTAGAAGATTTTGTATTATTTCCCCAAGAGGCAAAAGCCTTAATAATCTGGAATGTAGAGTATGATTCCAATATTCTCAGTTTTCATCTTATAAAGTCTTATAGAACCACACAACTTTAAAGTTGGATTGGATATCTAAAATTCTTAGCCTAATTACTTTGTTTTACATATATGGAAACTAAAGCCCAGAAAAGGTACGTGACTCACCTAAAGTCATAGATATAGTTAATGGTGGAGAACAATGAGGTCTCTAGAGTTGCAACCAAATGAGGATGCCTACTTTTTGGGGGGTGAGGTGGGGTATGTGTATTTCAGTAGATCATAAATAAGCATAATGATTTATTTTAAGAGAAGCTCTGATAGGATTAGCCATAAAGCTAAGTTTCTGCTCTCTCTCATTTCAATATCCTTCTATTAGGGACCTCGAAACTAAATTAGACTGATGAAACAATCAATGTAGACCCAAGATTTGTTTTGGGATTTGAGAAAGACAGGCTAGAATCCATCCTTTGAAAACCTGAGTTTAGATCAATTGTTTGTTTTGATGTCCACAGTTAACTTTTTTGTCTACTAACCCAGCTAAATAATCTACTGTGGACAGAGAATGAAAGTATGAGCAATCCAAGTCACTTGTGCTTAGTTTGGGGATATTTATTTCTAAAGTATTGTTGCATACTTTAAAGCAATGCTGAGTGGAGAGCAAGGAAGGTAGTCTGGGGACATGCTGGGCAGGGGGAAGAAAGCCAGATAAATTACAAACATGCCATGGGTTAGTCACATGCAGGTGGACTTTCACACTTAACTTCTGGCTTCCCGGAATGCTACACAGTTTAAATGGCTAATCTGCAAAGATTAAAGAAAATTACAATACTCAATGCTGGTGAGGATGTGGCAGTGAAACACCTGTTTTATGGTTGAGAACATAAACTGGTATAATTTTTCTGGAAAGCAAGTTGGCAATGTTTCTGGAGTCTTTAAAATGCACACATCCTTTGACCTACTTCCAGCAATCTTTCCTAGGAAATAGTCTGAAGATGTAATCACAAAGATGTTCTTTGCAACATAATGTATGGCTATGTAAAAAGTTATAAAGTTTACACTTAAGTAAAAAATTGGAATCAATGTTAATGCCTAACGTTAGAGGAATGTCCCAGTAAATTAAGTTCCCTCACACAAGAAGGCATATTCTAAGCCAGTAAAAGGTTTAATAGATATCCTTTTTAATGACCTGGGAAAGTGTTTACAATGTTCATTGATAAAAGCAAGAGACGTTATTATATATCATATATGGTTTTAAAATGTATATTAAACAAACACTGAAAGGAACAAAGTGAAAATGTGATAGAAAAATGGATAACTTTCCTTTTTATAACTTTTACACAAGAGTGCTGTAAACCATAAAGAAAAAGACTAATATAATGAGTCACAAAAATTAAAAAAAAAATCTTTATATGGCTAAATATACTTTACATTAATATGTTGAGAAAAAGATTTGCATCATATAACAGAAAAAGGTTAATCCATGATAAAAAAAAAAAAAGAACTCCAAAATAATAAAAGAAACACAACCCAGAGGACATAAATAGAAGAAATAAATTTCACAAAAGAAATAAAATTTAAGACTCACCCTCACTAATTAAAGAGATGCAAATAAAAAGCTCTGTTCCTCACATGTTTCTAGGAGCAGAGACTAGTATAATGGTTTTGAAAGATAATTTAATTTTGGAAGAAAAAAAAATTACTATAGCAATTCTACTTCTAGGACTTTTTCCCAAAAGAAATAATATTATGACTATGTAAAGATATAAGTGTAAAAATGTTCATACCATCATCATCTCTTAAAGAAAAATATGCTGACACTGTTTAAACAAACCGAGAATGCAGTCATACAATGGAATAGTAGATATGCATAATATGGAATACATAAAAAGAGAGCCATAATTATTTTTATATTAAGTTTAAAATAAAAACCTGTTATAGATAGTATGCTATGATCCAATTTTCATAAAAATAAGTAACAGCAATAATGACAAATGTCTCATTTGTACATGCCTATGAATACTTCAGGGAAAAATATACTGCATGTTAATCTATAAAGTCTACTTAATTCTGGGAAATGTGGCTTGGGATAGAGATGGAGGGACTTTGTGTTTTTACCTTATAATAAAAGCATGTATTCCTTTTAGATTTAAAAATACACTGAGGGGGAGGGAGAAGGAAGGGAGAGAGAGAGAGAGAGAGAGAGAGAGAGAGAGAGAGAGAGAGAGAGAGAGAGAGGGAGGGAGGGAGGGAGGGAGAGGGAGGGAGGGAGGGAGGGAGGGAGGGAGGGAGGGAGGGAGGGAGGGAGGGAGGGAGGGAGGGGAAAGGGCATCTGGGTGGAAGGCAATCAGATATAGTTAAATGGGAAGAGAAGCTTCAAAGGTACCATTTGGCCCTCAAAACTTACCATCAGTGTCCTAGCTACATTACAGCCCAAGGTGCCAGCTCCAAGCAGCAGACATTTGACAGATACAACTTTGTCTAAGTCCAAAGTAGGCACCAATCTCCAACACATCAATTTGAGATTTAGATCCACTGATGACTCAGCTAATCTGGAAAATGAGAGAATTATTTATTCAGTCATTCAGTCATTTATACCCCAATTTTGGTCTTTTTGAATAGAAGTAGCTGTATGAGAAAACAAACAAATACTAAGGAAATTAGGATCAAAGGAAAAATAAGATGAAGTTTGAGGGTAAAAGGAGAGGAGAAAGGTTATTGTGCAGAATCGTAACACTGTAGTCCTCTGCAATTGTTAGAAATAGGCCATTATATTTGATACTAAGCTCCTGGCAGTGAAGAGGAAAACGGAAGCTTGACTGGTACTAGAAGTCACTGTGTCCATAAATAAAAACACACCAGCTACCAGCTGCTTAAGAAGAAAGTTTTTCCTAATACTGAAAACAGAGATTTTCTTCCATGCCACTCTCCCTTAAATACAACACTGGTTTCCATGAAATATTTCTTATAATGTCCTTCATTGCAGGCTACCAGAACAAACTTAAAGGGCAATGAATAAAGGACTACAACATGCTGCAGGTATACAGGTCTTAGAGTCTGTGCTTGAAGCTAGAACGAAATTCAGAATGTCTAGATGAATAGATGAACTGTGTGCCCTTCAGGATATCCATTATTAATATTAATTCCCACAACCAAACTTACATTATGAGTTAGACAGCAAAGAAAGCAATGACACCCACTGTTCATGTGAATGGCAGCCCCGGACTGAACTGTGCAGTGCCATTGACCTCATAGAACATGGTGTGCGAAAGACCCATTGACGAAACTATCTTCCAAAATATACCTTTTAGGGTCCATACACTCACTGAGGTTCACCATCCTTGGTCCCATGCCTCCTTTCTGGTTCTTTTCCCATCCGACTGCTTTGGGACAATCTTAAAGCAAAGAATAAATTTAATGAAGGAGTGAAGGGTAAAAACAAGTCAGTCAAGCAGCAAGATGGCCCACATGCTGATAAACTTTTGGTACACTTTTCTCAAAAAGATTCTTGGGCCTGAATTTGCCTGTTGTCTTACCATCTTCTATGGCTACTAGGAATCTTGTTTAGAGGCCAGTAGATCAGTAGAGGAGCTTCTGAAATAGCCCTCAATTCTAGCACAAGTTGCTTTGATTTCTGCAGTTGCTCAAATAAAAACAATCATATCTGGCATTGGTATAACCCTGCTGAAGGTTCTCTATCTAAGGAAACAGATCCTGTGATGGCAGCACAGCTTCTGATGAAGTTCTCGCTGGGATGTGAACAGTACATCCCTTCTGTTCCTCGTTTTGTGTCCCTCTGCTTAGCCACTCAACTCCACCATTGTGTACTTGCCTGTGGGCAGATCGTAGTCCAGGAAGACTGTCCCTCTGTTAAACTGCCCTTTCCTTTAAGCTCATCCTTATCCATTCGGACTTTCCTCTTCCCTATCTCTTTTAACCTCTGCTACGGATGCCTATGTAACTCCAATTCCGGCAGTTCAGAAGGTTAAGGATCCTGTGGCTAATAGACATGGGAAATACCTCTGGACCCATTTCTGTTTTCCCTATCCACTCCTTACCATCATCCAAACCTGGAGATTCAGGTTGCATGTGAGGGAGATAAAAGCTTTGAGAAGCCTACAGTAAAGGAACATTGAATTTAATTTGGCTTTGTGTTTTCCCAAATTTACCTGGCTCTCAGTATCTCCTTCCATCACTGGTAACCCATTCAGGGAAATGCAGCTCTATTCTACTGTTGCAAAATCTTATTAAAAACCTCACTTGCTTTGTACAATACTCTTGCTACCTCCTCACCTTAATGGAAACCTGAGTTTCTTGGTGAGAACTTGTTAATGGGGTCCAGCCACTCTCTTACACTCCCCACACCTCCATATCTAAGTCCCTTTCTCACTGAATCCCTGAAATTTACAATAAAGCCTCAATTCCTTTGCAGGGACTTCATCCAGCTACATCCCAGCCTGTCTGCCTTCCATGAGTCTCTGAAGGAACAGAAACTCCTTGACTTAATGTACCAAACTACTGGCAGAAATTTTGTTTGTTTCTAATGATACACTGGTGTACTCTGGCCACTCTCCTCCTTTTAGATTTCTACTGACACCTCTATTTTTCTTTCCTTAAAAACTTTTTATCTTTTGACCTTTCGTTAAAAAAAAAAATAAATAAATAAATAAATAAATAATTGCACCCTTCGGTTTGGCTCAGTAGATAGAGTGTTGGCCTGTGGAGTGAAGGGTCCCAGGTTCGATTCCAGTCAGAGGTATATGCCCAGGTTGCAGGCTCGATCCCCAGTAGGGGGCGTGTAGGAGGCAGCCAATCAATGGTTCTCATCATTGATGTTTCTCTCTCTACCTTTCCCTTCCTCACTGAAATCAATAAAAATCTTAAAAAATTAAAACATATTGCTTAATATAATTATGGGAACTAGAAGGTGTTGATTTCATTTACATAATCTTTTCTTTGTGAAAAGATGAGATAAGATGACCAATGGGAAACCTTGGGACCAATCATGCTACAAAGCTACTTGAGCCTCAGTTTGGCTGGGGGCATCATTCACAGAAAGAAGTCCAGAAACAAACATCCCTTCTTGTTCTTACTCAGGCCTCTGGTGTGGTCCTGTTTTCAAAGTCATGAAAAATTGAAACTGATACAATAAATCTGAGTTCTTTAAATAGATTAAAACTTCAAAATTCTTTTTCTGGGAAAAATAATCCAGACTTGTTACTAAATCGTATTTTCTTACTAGTCTTATGTTAATAAAAAATGCTTCCCGAATACACAGCATAAGAAACCTGGCAAGTACAGTCTAGTACTATAGTTTATAACTCGAGCCTAAGCTTTCTCATTAAAAAAAAATCATGGGACAAAACCAAAATATCATTTCAAATTAAAATATCTCAGTACTCAAAATGAGGTAGCTATTTCTAAGAACTTAGAACTTATTTCAATGAAAAAATTCTATACAGGGTGTCCCCCTCAAAATGTATACACACTTTACCAATTGATAGCTCAACTTTGAAAATGAAATATATTTTAATAAACATCCTATATAATAAAAGCATAATAAGCTAAGTGTCAACCATTCGTTTGACTGTTCCACCAGTCACTATGGCACATACTGACCACCAGGGGGCAGACGCTCCAACTGGTAGGTTAGCTGCTGAGGTCCGGCGGATCAGGACTGGGCTAGACTGGGCTTGATGGTTGGACATGCCCTGGAGCCTTCCTGTGATCCCTCCTGCAATCCGTCCCCTGCCAGCCAGCCCAGATCAGACTGGGCTAGATGGGCTTTCCTGTGGTCCCTCCCAGACTCCAATCAGCCCCAATAAGGACTGGGTGAGACAGGCCAGACATGCCCTGGAGCCCTCTTGTGGTCCCTCCCTGCCTGGCCAGCACCCATTGGCCCCAATCAGGACTGGGCAAGACAACCCCGATTGACCCCGATCGCCTGCCAGGCCTAGGGACTGGTGCATGAATACACAGCCTCTAGTTACCTTTATAACTATTCAAAGTGCCTGTACACATTTTTTGGGATACTGTATATACAGCAATATTTAATCTATCATACCTGCCTCCATATAAACTATGTCTGTAAGTCATATCCAAAATTATTGAGAAAATATTTTTAGGGGAAACTTAAGACCTGTTTTCCCAGTTAGTCAACTAGGAGGAGAACATCAGGGCAGGAATTAAAATGAGGGCTCTCCCACTCTCGGCAGTGTCTGCTGCCTCCTTCAGCCAGTTGCCAGGATACTCTATATCAGCAATGGAGAGTGAGCATGGCTGCACAATGAAGAGCATAAGAAAATATAGGAGATTTAAAACTGTACTTATGATACCACTGCAACTATGGGATGTCTTAGAAATATTAAAAAAAACAACAACTTTTGGTTCACACTATAATACAGAATAATTATTTAGAAAGATTTTTTTAATCCTCACCCATGGATATTTTTTGTTTGTCTGTTTGTTTTTTAATTTTACTGATTTTGGAGTGGAAAGAGAAACATAGATGTGAAGGAGAAACATCCATTGGTTGCCTCCCAATGTAACTCAACCGGGCATCAAACCTGCAAATCTAAGTATGTGCCCTGACCAGGGATCGATCTTGAAACCCTTTGGTGTATGGGACAACGCTTCAAGCAACTGAACCACCTGGCCAGGGTGAAAAATAAAGTTTAATTTACAGTTAAAAGGGGAACTATTAATTTGCATGAAAAAAGAAAAAAAAGAAAAGAAAAATTGCCTTTCCATCCACACTCAAAAAAGATGAATTGAGACATTACAGGATTATAGAAAGCCTCTTTTTCAAATGTACAATAAATGTAGTGTTTCCTGGGTTTGCCAGTTCCATCAAGCATCAGTAATACCGGGAGCAGGGAATAAGAGTAATTCCAATTACTTTATCTTAAAAACGGAAAGAAAAGTGCCTCCCCCAAGGGTGGTTAGCGGGATTTAGGGAGGGAAGTATGGAAGGTGATGGTAGCCTACCAGGTGTAGACCAGGCCCACCTTACTTGTTAGTTAACCTCATTCCCCTAGAACTACCCTCAGGTTGTGGCTTTAACATAACAAAAGTACAGTACTATGTAAGTTAGCATCACATGAAAGCTATTTTAGAATGTGCCAGAAGAGGGCGCTAAACCAAATGCAACTGTCTAAAAATAGCAGGGAGGCAATGGATTTCTTATGGCTCAAAGTAACAAGTAAACCACTTCCCCAATTGCCTGACCAAGCACTTCATTGTCTATCTCTCTGAGAAGTCTAATTAAGACATTTCTCAGTGCTACAGCAGAGATTTACTGATAAAATGTCATCAGAGAAATCCTGGATCCTTTTGAATTCCACATTCTAGAAATGCCATCTCAGAAGAAATATTAACATCCTCCCCTCTCCGCCCACCACTAAAACACTTTAAGGCACATAGCTTGTGGATTAAAGAAAGAAATGTGCCTTGAAGCTATGTGGGACATTGTGAGGAGAGAATTGAACAATATATGTGAAACTACTCTGAAAAGCATGTAAGACACAAATATCTGAGGGATTCTTTTGGAGAGTGCTGGGCTTATTTAGTGTGATAAATACATAAATCAGTATTTATAAAGCACCCATAACATGTCAGACATTGTGTTCTTTCTTTTACACGTGACAGATTCCTCATAAGAAATATTCCATGTGGTGGGTACTAGTATCACCTTTATTTTACTCAAACTTCAACATGTGTTCTGTGACATGAATATAAACATAAGTGTAACACACATGCACTCACGCACACACACACAATCTATATAAAATGACTGTGAGCCCAAGTTTCTTATTTATGAAAGGAGGAGAATAGCTGATGTCTATCACACAGGACCAAAGGAAAAATATTAAATTTGGAAAGAGACATGGCACTTTTGCTCACTCATTTATTGCATGGAGAGTAGAATCACACAAACTTTAAGTTTGTAACAATATGTATGTCAGTGCATTAATATTTCATTTTCCCTTTAAGAAGGGTCAGGAATAAAGACTGTGTCTTAAGCAAAAATAGAAACAAAACTAGGGGGGAAAACATCCTTAAGATTGAAAAATCCTGCCTGGAGAAAATTTCCTGGGGACAATCTTTGCCTTCATGCCTGTCAGACTAGCAGAGCTGCTCTCTGTTCAAGGGAGGTGAACACATGGACAAAGAGGTAGAAATTGTACTTTTCTCTCCTTCTGCTGCTATTGTAAAAGGATAAAAGGAAAGTTAAGCCTGATTAGGTTTATGATAAAAATTATATGCACTCTCAAAGACCAGCAAGTTACCTGGGCTAAAAGCCATTTCTGGAAGCTTCACTTCGAAGATGATGCTGTGGGTGATGTCTCTGACCCCCTGCAAGGTGCGGTCCCGGAAGCAGAGGACTTCAACAGACTGGAAACTACTACTCCTGGTGGTAGTTATTTTTTTAAGGAAGGAAAAGAAAGAGCTCACATCAGAACTTCAGCAAACCCAGGTGGAAAGAATACAATCCGCTGTAATTATGCTTCCCTGATACCCTCAAGGGATTGCCTTAACCTTTGAGAGATTCTGAATACATCCTTGTATGCTCCCTTTGTCTCAGTGCTTAGAGGCTGAAGGTAGAATAGGTTGTGATTTCTTTCTAGGTGAATTTCATATAACAATCTTAAATAATTCTGACAAATGAATCTTAAATGTAGGGGGGAAAAGCTTACAAGACATTGAAAAGAATGTCTTCTTTGCATGGGTTCTTCTGGTCGCCCTTCTCTCCATCTGCACTTAAATTCTATGATGCCATACTCCAGTAGTTAGGAAGCCCATTTGCACTGGATAGACTGACCACCTGGATAAGTAAGTATAACCATTCTCCCGCTGGGGACAATCTATAACTTAGCTACTTTCATTTTTTTTAAGTTAACATTTTGACTTAAGCAAAGCAGCCACAAAGACAAGTACACAACTTTTAAATATAAAGGAGCCTGTCTCATGGCTTCTCCCAGTTACTAACCACCCCTTCAAAAGTAACTACTACTCTAACTTCCAAGTGCATACATGGCTATTGCATATTCTGATTTTCACATAGATGGGGAATCATAGAGTATATATATATACTTTATATCCAGCTTATTTCAATCAACATTTTGTTTTTAAAACTCATCTATATTGATATATATATCGGCAGTTCACTAAAATTTGGAACATAGCATTCCATTGCAATGAATACACCACAATTTATTCCATTCCATTTCATTACTGAAAGCCATATGGGTTATTCCCCGTTTGGGGTTATTAAGAATAATGCTGTGATAGCCCAGCCTATGTGGCTTAGTGGGTTGAGCATCAATCTATGAAACAAGAGGTCACGAGTTAATTCCCAGTCAGGGTACGTGCCTGGGTTGTGGGCTCCATCCCCAGTAGGGGGTGTGCAGGAGGCAGCCGATCAATGATGTTTTTCTATCATTGATATTTGTATCTAAAAATCAATGAAAAAAATTTTTTTTTAATATTCTATATTTTAAAAATTCATTTAAAAAAATACTCGTCCAAGGATATGTTTTATTTTTAATCAATTTTTAGAGAGAGAAGAAGGGAGAGAGAGAGAAAACAATGTGAGAGAAAAACATCGATTGGTTGCCTCCAATATGTGCCCTAATCACAGGAATCAAACTCACAGCCTTTTAGTGTAAGGAAAGATGCTCCAACAAACTGAGCCTCCCAGCCATAAACATTCTTGATATGTCTTTTGCTTGTATCTGAGTGAGCAGTTATGTATGATATATACTTTAGAGTACAACTGCTGAACTAAGGATGTTTTTAACTGTGATAGATACTGCCAGTTTTCCAGCAGTGTCTGAGAGTTCCAATTGCTCCATATCTTCAACAAGACCTGGTATTGTGATTTATTAATGATTAGTATTTAATTTTATTTCCTTGATGACCAACAATGTTGAGCATTTTTTCAAACGTATATTGGCCCTTAGGTACCCTCTTTTTAAATTATTTTAGGGTAGGACAAAAGAAGGCCAGAAGCAACAGGATAATCCTATCCGAAAGCTGAAGAGAGGGCTGAAGAATTTCAGGGTCAGGATCTTTGGCTACTTGCCCTGCCATATTCTAAAACATCTTTAATACAGTATGGTCACAGTCTGCAACCTCATAACAGGCCTGCTTAGGGGTTTATCACTGATGAAACTGGATTATGACTGATTTATTGACTCCCACCTGGTTTGTGTGCCAGAAGTGAAAGAAAAAAAAAAAAGTGCAGACATAGGCAGACACATTGTCAAAAACATATAGACAGAAGTAAATACTGTACCATTTGTGGGCTGCTAGGACCAAAAAATTCCTCAGAGGCCATCCAGGGTATTGGGCTAAGTTACAGGGATCATATACACCAACTGTTATCTGTGAACATAAAAAGACTTTCTGAATGAGTTAAGTATTATGTCAGATTCACAATACAGACATTGCTAATACTTGCTCTTTACTTTTTATGCAACACTGCAAAAGCATTATCCTTTATTGGATGAAAGGGAACTTTAGTTCCTGGCATTAACATCAGTAACATGTATTAAAAGATAATTTTAATAATAAACAATACATTTTCCTTATAAATGTTTTTATTTTTCATAAATAACTCAAAAAATAGATAAGATAGAGGCAAAAAAGTAAATGCCTGCAGTGCTGAATTTAAATGCCCAAAAAAGCTCCGGCCAGGAGACCCCAAAACAGGAATTTAAATGCCGTCTTTTAAAGGTTAATAATTAGACACTTGATGAAGGGCTATAGGAAAGAGAAGAAAGCAAAATGATATAGGTATGAATGACAGAACTTTTTTAAAAATATTTTTATTGATTTCTTACAGAGAGGAAGAGAGAGGGATAGAGAGTTAGAGACATCGATGAGAATCATCGATCAGCTGCCTCTTGCACGCCCCCCACTGGGGATGTGCCCACAACCAAGGAACATGCCCTTGACCTGAATCGAACCCGGGACCTTTCAGTCCGCAGGCTGACGCTCTATCCACTGAGCCAAACCGGTTTTGACAGACACCATTAACTCTTGATCAATAAATGAATGAGCGAATGTGAGCAGTTTGAGGCAGGCACTTCTTTAGTATTGGTGTACAAGATGGAAGCAAGAAGACTCTGCTTGTCCAAAACTACAGTGGTAGCTCTGAGAATAAATTAAAACATACATACAAAATATATTGGGAAGGAAAACTGAAATAACTTCATTACTAATGGGAAGCAAGGAATCCAAAATTACTCTGAGGTGCAACAGAGCTAGAAAATTCCAAAGCAGGAGCTGATCTGGGAACTGCAGTGTGTGTGAGAATAAAGATAATGAAATGTTCTGAAACATTCTTTGAAGCGATAAATAAATCTAAGTGAATTTGAATTTTTTAGTGGTCTATCATAAAATGATACTCAGTTTCTCTGACCTTTGTCCTTTGATCTTGGAAGAAACCACTGTAGTGTTTAAGCAAGGAAACCAGCACCGTGTTCTCATCATACTTGATTAGGAAGTAAGGTAATGCTGGGACTCCTTCAGCTTGACAGAGATCATCATATGCACGCTCAAGGGCTTGAATCTGGAAACAGGAAACACTGAGTTATTCTCCAGGAATCACATATATGGTGCTGAGCTAAAAATTGACATACAATAAATGGTAATTTCAATCCAGAAAACTGGAAATGACTGATCACATCCCTATTTCTGTTTTGCAGCAAATGAACATAAGAGTGACCCAAATAATGCCACTTCACTTTTACATAATATTTTCCACATGCATGATGGTGTCTCTTCGAGGCACAAAAGGACATTTTATGGTACAGCATGGTAGTTCTCTAAGATATGAACCACAAAGGTTGAGAGAGGTATCCAAACATTATTTCTCTTCTGGGATAACCAAGCATGATTCTATGATTTTTATGAATTTTAACCTGAACCTTTCCATAATCTTTAACAGCTTTAGTGAGACACATTCATCTACCAAACAACTGACCCATTTGCAGTGTACAATTCAATGTTGTTTTTAGCATGTTCACAGGATTATGCAACCATAACAATGATTTGAGAACATTTTTGTCTTAAAAGAAACCTCACACACATCAACAGCCAATTCCCATGTATAATCCTTTCTCCCAACTTATATTTCTCTTTGGGAAATTAGTTCCACAAAACCATATCCTTTGATGTTTCTTAGTAAACACACTTATTATTTTTTAATCAGTAAAGGCTACTCCCTGTTTTCAGAATTCAGGGTTTTAGTAACTGAAGTGCTTCATGAATTCAAATATTCGTGCCACTCAATTTTTGCTTCAATAACAGTCAGAATTCTTTGGTTTAGGTCTGTGTTCTATCAGCCTGATTATTTTCATTGCTCTTTTCTGGACCATTTCTTTCTTTCTTTTAATATATTTATTGATTTTTACAGAGAGGAAGAGAGAGGGATAGAGAGCTAGAAACATCGATGAGAGAGAAACATCGACCAGCTGCCTCCTGCACACCCCCTACTGGGGATGTGCCAGCAACCAAGGCACATGCCCTTGACCGGATCGAACCTGGGACCTTTCAGTCCGCAGACCAACGTTCTATCCACTGAGCCAAACTGCTTTCGGCTGGACCATTTCTAGTGACCTTATTATCTTTCTTAAACTGCAAAGACTAGCTCTTCATGTACCATTCCAGATACAGAAGTTTTGCATCTTGGCATAAGGGAAGAAGAATGTCTTCTATTTGGTTTCAAAGGCTCTCATTCCAAAGTATAGAGCCTTATGATCCCCCCACTAAAAGTGAAAACCACATTTTAGAAAATTGTTAGTTTTTTTAAATGTTCCTATAATTCCTCCCTACTGGCTTAGAATTTTACCAATTGTCACTGAAATCCTGGAAAATTATTGTTTACTACTTCTTCAAAAGGATTTTGTAAACATTTTGTAAATAAACCTGTTCTAAGAACCATCATTGGAAGATTCCATAGTGACCAGCTCTTCATTCAGAAAAGTGTCCATCTGTCTTTAGAGTGTAGTAGATAAACTAAGCTTGCACATTAAGTCCAAGTACTTGCATTTTGCTTTATTTGTTGATACCTGTTTTGGTGAAAACCTTTGATCCAAGCCCACTGGCCCCTGAATGAGGGGTATACTCTCAGGAAGGCAGAGAGCAGGAGAGCAAAACCAATAATAGAAGTGGTACTTCTTCAGATCCTAAAAGAAAGAAAGAATATAGCAGGATATCAGAATAGCACCAATGATTACACTGAAATGCATCTATTAATGTAACATCCCATAATCAGGTAAGACAGAAGACTGATGCACACAAAATATGACCAGCTTCTGAAAAATTCTCATCTCCAATAGAACTCATGATATTTCTGTCATTATTTCAAAACATTCCCATACACCACATACTACTATATCAGGATAAACATACTTTTTTGACCATGTGCTACAAAGTGTTCAGTCAGTAACTGGCATCATTGTCATCATTGTTTAATACACAAAACTACCCTGGGTGGTAACTATTATCATCCCATTTTATAGACAGAAAACTAAAGCTTAGAGAGGGGAGAAGAACTTGAACAAAACAATGTTATTAAAGAAGCTGTGCTTATTCATAATCTATATTTGCTGAGACAGCATTGCTCTAAGAAAAGCTTTATTGGTAAAATTCAAATCAACAACTATGAAGCACTTGTTATATACAAGGCAAAATATTAGACACAGACAATAAGAAGATAAATCAAGCCCAGTCCCAGCCCTTGGGCAGCTCACTTTCTGCACAAAGCAGAGATAATGTGAATGCTATATGTGTCACAGAAGAGGTTCTAAGAACTAAAAACTTTGGGCAAGACATACAGGAGAAAGAACTGTGAAGCTGCCCTAGATACTGTTCCCACTCAGGCTGAATGCTCTTGCCTCTGAATTCTTGCAGCATTTGTGGCCTGAAAAACTAATGTGTAGGAACCCATAGTAATGCAGCTATTTGATAGCTTACCTGCCAGTCTGTTACAACTGAGCACAATGCAATTTATTTGACTAATTAATATTTCTCCTTAAATGTTGCTATGAATAAAAAGTAGGCTGAAAACTGGTTTGGCTCAGTGGATAGAGCATCGGTCTGTGGACTGAAAGGTCCCAGGTCCAATTCTGGTCAGGGGCATGTCCATTGGTTGTGGGCACATCCCTGGTATGGGGTGTGCAGGAGGCAGCTGGTTGATATCTTTCTCTCATCAGTGTTTCTAGCTCTCTCTCTCCTCTCCCTTCCTCTCTGTAAAAAATCAATAAAATATATATATATTTTAAAAAGTGGATGTTTCCTCCTTTTTGAGATATAATACACATACCAAAAATATTTTTGTTGAGATATAATTCACATACTATAAGATTCATGATGCTAAAGTATATAACTGAGTGGTCTATTTAGTATATTGACAAGTTTATACTACTATCACTACCAATTATAGAACATTTCATCACCCTCCCCCCACAAAAATCACCAAAAAACCATTAGCTCAGGGATTTTCAACTGATTTACCACAAAAAATTTTAAAATATACAATATCTGACTACTTAGTCCGGGGCACTGACCTCTTCTCCCGTAGATTGTCAAATTTAAAAAATGACAACCGTCAACAAAACAATAGCCATCCAGTGTGCATGAATCAAAATTATACCTATGTTTTTTATCAGATTGGCAAAAAATATATATCTTTTGGTGTACTGCAGAATTTTAGTAATTAGTTTTTGTGTACCAAGAGATGAAAAATGTTGAAAATTGCTGCATTAGCAGAAAATTCCCTTCCCATGGAAATCACTAATCTATTTTGTCTCTATGCAATTGCCTTTTCTGCACTTTTCATCTGAATTAAATCATACTAGATGACTTTTTAAAATATAAACTTTATATATGTGTGTGAGTAGGTGGATGTGTCCAGCTGAGAAAGTCTAGTAATTACAATTTCTGCACTCTCTATTTCTGCCATTAATTGATCAATTAGGAATAAATTTTCTTTCAAAAGGAGCAAAACAAACTACAAAACTGAAGTAATGAGGCGTCTGTTCCTTTGAGTCCTAAAAACAGCAGAAAAAAAACCACACCAACATCTCCAGAGATTATTTCTTTTTTGTACTTAACTGATTTGTCATAAATGACCTTTAGTAAAAGGTTAAACAATTCAAGATGAAAGACTTCACAATTTCTAAGAAGCTTTATCAGGCCATCTTCAAAAGTCCAAAGGCATGAATTTCTTAGGATTCTTTTCAGGACACAAAAGGTCTTGATTAAATTAACATAAAGCCCTTTGTGCCTGAAGATTTTAAAAGATAGAGACTTTTCATTCTTTTAAAGGTAGGCTAAGAATGCTCAGTAAAAGGGCAATAAGCCAACACACATACTGAGTCTGGGAAATGCATTAAAATGTTGAGTGAAAGTGAATGTTATTTTTCTCTTTAAGTGCAAATTTTCAACTAAATTCCACTAACTAGAATTCTTGGTATAGAAAATATAATGATGTTCAAGTAACAAAACTAAAAATATTTAACTAGCACTATTTATATCTATTCTAGTAGTAAACCTACAAAATTACTCAATTTTACAAATTATCAACATCAAATTGCACCTAGAAATTCCATAAAGAATTTAAAACTTTTTCTATACCCCCACTATTACACATTAAAGCAGTATAACTTGTTAGAAAATGTGATCCTTTTTTATAGCAGCCCTTTGATACAGCTTCCAGTCTTGATTCTTATCATTCTCTCAGTAAATCAGAGAGGCAGCATTCAGAGAAAATGGAGGATTAGTTTGTGGGGGAGGGAAAAAAATAAGACTTATAACTTGGCAAAAAGAAGAAAAAAAAAGAAAAAAATTTTTCTTGTGGGAAAGAGGATTAATTAATAAAGCTGTAGTAAAGTAACACAGTTAATGTACACCGATATCGATATATTTATATGCTCCCTCCAAAGAATGTATTCTAAAGAAATAAAATGGACAGGGAGAAAAATATCAGTATGGCCAGTATTATTCACTGAAACAAATACAGTGAGTATTGGAAACAATCTAGCTGTACAAGAGCCTATAGAATATACACTCGACAGAATACTATGTAGTCATGCTTTATTGTAGAGGAAAAAATAGTTTTATATGTAGATGTATAAAGATATACACACATATAAAACACAATGTGTTTATTGAATTTTGCTTTATTGTGCTTCACAGATGCTGTGTTTTTTATACATTGAAGGCAAGACCTTCTACCAGCAAAAAATTATGACTCCCTTTCTTGCAAATACTAGCTTTACTGTAGTAGTCTGAAACCAAACCTGCAATAGTTCCAAGGTATGCCTGTGCATTGCATATATATGTAGATATGTGTGTGTGTGTGTGTGTGTGTGTGTGTGTGTGTGTGTCACTGGTATCTCTACAACAGTGGTTGCCAACCTTTCGGACCTCACGGATCGCCGATTGGCGACCGCTACTCTACAATATACACTGACCACTTTCTCCATCACTAGGACCAGCCTCTTTCCCTTACTTCCATAGGCAGCAGATGTTACACTAATGTGATTTATTTTCCTCTTCAAAGCTGACCTCAATGTTCATTTTAATTAGATATCACTTATATGAAACATTTTTTCTTCTTACCAAAACATAACTGTGTGGACAAGCAAGGTAGTGTCATCTCTAGTCTACAACAGCTTGAAGATGGCCAGGGTCCCTGAAAGATTACTTTTTCCTTATATCAATGAACAAAGCAACCAAGCAGGACTGTATTTAGTAAAGACATAAGCAACAACCACTACTCCCTAAATCTGACTTTATTGTGTCCTGAATGATAAGAGTTTGATGACTGCGCTATATAAGCCATGAAATTACCACCAGTAATATGTATGATTATATCAGTATGATCAGTAAGAATGAATTAATTTTGCATTGGTAGTAAGGGCCAGCAATATTGGCCACTAACCAAATGTAGATTTATTTAACAGCTAAAACTTGAATGACACAAGGTAAAGGCTTTGGAAGAAGAGAGCACACTGTTCTATTGCCACAATGGGCTTGGCCAGGGCATTTGAGCATGTCCCGTGACCCAGAGTCCATTTACTTACTGCAAATGTCAAAAGGAGGAATTTGTTGAGGAGGACAGGGTTTCTGAGAGCAGCACCTGATTTTATGGATTCCCATATCTGCCACAAGAAGAAAAAAAAAGTGTCAAGGTAAGTTATCAGCATCTCTGAGCTTTTCACTCTCAAGTGAAGCACAGAACTCTATAGCCCTGAACCCTTCTTTCCCACAGGCCTGGCACCACTTTTCCCAGGCAGTGAAATGGGCTGTTACCTCACTCTGCCCAATGCCCACTTCTGTCCACCAGCCACTCTTGTAACAGGCTGCAGAAAGGGAGAGAACCCAGAGGCCTCCTCTCGGTGGGTCTCAGCATGCCTGTTATTTCCTTCAACAAATATTCTTTCCTAGTATATACCAGACACATCAGGGTTATAAAAATAAAAATAAAAAAGTCACAGTCCATACCCACAGGAAGCTTACAATCTAGTGAGAGATTCAGGCATAAATGTCCAAGTATACCATCAGGTAGGATGTGTATCCTAGAAGGATGTAGAATTCCTGAGAGGACCCCCAAACTGGGCTGAGAGATGGGAGGGAAAAGAGCCAGGAAGGACTTCTGGGAGGCAGTGATTGAACTATGTAAAGGGGATTTCTTAAAGTCTTATTTCAGATTATTTCACCCTGAGATATGAAGAAAAGAGAATGAACTTCAAATTTATGAATACTCAGCAAGTTCTGTGACTAGAAGCAGAAGCTGGTACTGGTCAGCAATTGCTTGTCACAGATATTTTAGTAGCTAAGATTAGTTGCTAAACATTGTGTCACTATGCAAGACAAATAAACGGTTCTTATGTGCCAATAAGAACCATTCCCTACATATGGGTAGAATAGGGAATTAAGCAGAGAGAAGTTCCTGCTACTGAAATAATAACCTCAGAGGAGCAGGACTGCTGCAGAGCAGATCCGAGCTTCTGATCAGCCAAGAGGGAGGACTTGTGGAGAAAGTACAAGCCCTGGACAAGGAGTGAGAATTCTTGTGGGGAGCAACCTGCTTTCTCCATGACCCAACTTTGGAGCCAGGCTTTTGAATGTGCAGCCAAAGCAGAAGCCAGAATCAGCCAAGCTGCAGGCCAAGAACAACCATCATCACGTGCATTCATCACGAGGGACAGAAGGGACACCTTCTTCAAGACAAAAGGCAGGAAACTTCTTTCTCTGACCATGGCATGCACTCACATTAAAAGACTCTTTTTATTATTGTTTGTTTGCTTTTAACTATATTTTTACTTATATTTTTAGAAAGAGAAGGTAGGGGGAGAGAGGAGGGAGGGAGGGAGGGAGGGAGGGAGGGAGGGAGGGAGGGAGGGAGGGAGGGAGAGAGAGAGAGAGAGAGAGAGAGAGAGAGAGAGAGAGAGAGAGAGAGAGAAACACAGATGTAAGAGAAAAACATTGATCAGTTGCCTCCTGAATGCACCTGGACTGGGGATCAAACCAGCAACTGGGTATGTGCCCTGACTAGGAATCAAACCTTTCGGTGCACAGGATGACACTCAAATTGAGCCATACCAGCCAGGGAAAGACTCTATTATTTATTTATTTTTTTGGACTAGTGTGAAGACTATTCGATTAAGTGAGTTAGAGGGCATTTAAATAAATTGTCCCCCCATTTTAGTTCTTCACAGAAACTCAGATATGAAGAAGTAAAGGAAAGACATTCCAGGCAGAGAGAACATCGTGTCCTGAGAAAAGAGGAGAACAAAAAGCAGGTGAAGGAAGGAATGAGAAGTGATTTACTGTGACCGGGTTAGAGAAGGCAGGGGCACGAGTGACAGGACAGAAAGGCCACTGAGGCCAGGACACGAGGGGCCGTGTAAATCACACGGAGTGGTTTAGATTTAGCCCTGAGGACACTAGAGAGACTACACTATCAGCTCCAACAGCACTCCAGTGCTTACAACTGAAAAGCCTCTGCAAGGGGCACAAAGAACCCAAAGGCATTCAGACATAAAAACAGAACTCAGACAGAGGTCAAGCTGTTTCAGAATGTTATAATGGGTGGTCAGCAGCAAAGCTTTTCATACACTGCCCTGCATTCTGGCCTCACCCGAGGTGAGAGCCTCAGTGTCTTCTCTCTGACCTTCCCAGCAACACAGAAGCCAACTATCATTGAGTATCAACTTTATACTAGTTTCTATGACAGATCCCTGCATTTGATCAGAAACAACATGCCTGCAGGACCACAGAAAATACAATGACTACATCATGTTTTCCCAGCTAACCTCATTTGCTGCTTGCTCCAAAAGTAGCTTCTTATCTGCAGCCTTGAAAGCCTCGAGTGTGTTGGTGTTATACAGTGTTCCAACAGCGGGGCAGCAATGGGCTGGGGTGGGAGCATTCCTGGATACAACAGAAACATGGTTAACAGGCACAGCTGGGACTCAGAGAGCCAGGGAATGACAAACACACCAGCTCATCAGTGAGAGACAGAGGACAGTACTCTGGAGGAACAAATAGAAGGCTGTACATTTCTTTGGAAAAAGATGAAAATATTGCTTAAAAAATAAAAACAGGCATTGAATCTCTCAAAAGCTTCTATATTCCCCTTATCCTAAACTCTCAGCATGCTGTTCTTCCACTACCCCCCATATGTAAGTTCTTTCTCTATTTTTTATTTTTTTCTCCACCGTTAACCTCAAAGGGAAACATTATTTATTAAACTTCTACTCTGCCAAGAGCTGTATAAGGCTTGAACTCTCATAACATGTTTAAATAACTTGTCTAAGGTCATATAAGAATAGGTAGAGCTAGAATCTAAAGTCAGAACTAGTTAACTCCAAGATGCTGTGCTGCCCATTCCTCACTCAAGCCTTCCCAGGGTTCAGGGCCCCATTCCAAACCTTCCTCTTCCAGGAAGCCATCTCCCGCCCATTATCTCTGATAATGGTTTATATATAAAACAAAGCGGAATATTTTAGAGTGTTTTCAAGACAAACAGTCATATCCCACCAGTCGGAGGACAGGAAGCTCCTTAAGGGCCAGGAACATGTCCCTCTCTTCTGACTGTCCCACAACCAAGCCCAGCCCAAACAGGCTCTGAACAGAGCTGCTTATGAGCAAACCCCTGGTGGCTGTCTGAGTCACATAGACAAAATATGTTACATCTGGGCCACCTGCCAATCCATCACATCACATGTGTACAGTACAATGCCCAGGAAGGCTTCACAGTCTTCAAAATAATCAAAGCCAAGAGAGGGAAAGATGAGTTGATTCTGAACACAAACTTAGATGTGGAGAAATCTGCTCTCTTCTCTAAGATGATTAACTTGTGGTTTAGTGGTTACAGATGATGCTAAATAAAAATATCATCTCAGCAGCCTAACAACTACTGCAGAATAGAAAAACGCATTGGTATTTATTGCACTGATGGAAGCTGTATTTAAAAGACCGGTGTCTCTTCATTCTAATTCTGAATAAAATTGGTTTCAGAGGAGCTGCAAGAAGAGATCTAAGCCTAGAACAGGTGTGAAGGGATGCAATGAGTGACAAAGAGTCTGTCAAATGCAGTCTGTAAGGCTCAGACACCAAGCCCTGAGGTAAAGCAGTTTTCAATGTCCAGAGCCTTCCTTTGGGATCTGATAAGTTAGCAATCACAGGCTGTTTGTCACCCGTCTGCCCCAACATAAGAATATTTTTAATCCAGGTAAAATGAGGCCATCAAAAAAGAGTCCTGATGAGAAAATGATATCATGAAGAGGTGAGATTAAGCCAAGAGGGGAAAAAGGAGAAATGGGAAATTGAAAAACTAGACCTACATTGTGCTGAAGAAAACACTGCTGAAACAGAAGGAAGAGGATAAGATCTAATTTAGATACAAGCACAAGACGAGGAAGATACTCTCCTTCCGAAATGTCCAAATGTCCTGGGTGTGTGAAAGCCATGCCCAAGCCTTGCTCTGATAGTGGAAGAAACCATATCATGAGAATTCAAGCAACAGCCAGGACAGCTATGCTCCTAGAACATCAGTGCTCATGCAATTAGTGAGTGAGAACCAGAAGACCTTTCAACGAAGAAGCATTTTTTTGTGATTAAAGTTCTAGCAGGGGAAGTGACCCAGGAAAGAAATATAAAAAGTCATCTTGGGAAAGAAAACCATTCTTCTAGTTTTTCAAGATTCAAGTTCCATTTGTTCCACAAAGAGGTGGCTCAGATGAGAACTGGAAAGAGCCCTAGACTTGAAAATAAGAGACTTTAGTTCAAATTCTAGTCTTGAACACTTGTTTAGTTTCCTATAATTCCATTTACATGAAATGTCCAGAATAGGCAAATCTATGGAGACAGAAAGTAGATTTGAGATTGTCTAGGGCTGTAGGGAGAGAGAAGAGAGGAATAAAGAGAGATTGCTAATGAGTATAGGGGTTTCTTTTGGAGGGTGATGAAAACGTCCTGGAATTAGATAGTGGTGGTAGTTTGCACAACCTGGTGAATATACTAAAAGCCACTGAATTGTACATTTTTAAATGGTGAATTTTATGGTATATAAATTATACCTCAATAAAGCTGTTTAAAAAAAACAGAATTAGAAATCTTCCCTACAGCCAACAGTGAACTCAAAATAATGTGTACATTAACCTTAAAGACTGGATCTCATAAAGGCCTAAGCCCAGGCCTGTTATCTCTGAAAATTTGTCTTTCACTTCACTCAATCTCCCAGTGATTACTCAAGAAAGTACTGAGATTGTTTTGCACCTATTACACTTGGCCAAACCATGCATGTGGCCAGAGTCTCCAGAACAGACAGGCAGTGGAGGTGGTCAGGATGGAATAAATCCCCCAGAAGGGCTGAGGTCGCTTTTCACACTTATGGGAACCTTACTCCACAGCTTTGCATGGCCAAAGGGAACTCTGGGAAGACATACTCAGTCTGGGAGCATGCTGCATTATCTCCTGCTTTCCAAAATAATCTGAGTTTCTGATGATAACATTCTCTAACAGAGTCCATTGGTATCTTTCCATCAACCACATCTTATACCATTTTGACAGCCATGCACTTAAACTGCTTCTAAGTAAATGCAACTATTATTTGAGTAACTAGTACATATCCAGATCTATAATAGGTAGTAGTAAGATAGAGAATAAGAGACAGCCTGAGGCCCACATAGATAATTTTGCATGAGTCTTCTTTCCTTAACTACTTTTTATGTTATTTGAGGGCTCGCCTTTTCTCTAATTGAGTCCATCTTGAAGCTTAGCAAAGAAAAATAGTTCTTATGCCTAAAAAAGATAAATGCTCCTCAAGGGAAAGAGGCCCAGGGCAAGAAAAACTTAAAAAAAAAAAAAAAGTTTCATGCTTATACAAAAATTGTCCACCAAAATCTATTCTCTTCTTAAACAGAAACAGAATACATATAAGATGCTGGTAGCTGGGCACCACATATCCCAGGCTTTCTTGCAAGATAATTGAGGCATTGCACTCTCCCCAGCAGAATCACCTGGCTAGGACCTTTAAGAGACTGGGAATGTTTCCTCTACCTGTTTTCACCCTGGCTCCTTCCCTATCTACATACTATTACCTGAAAGTGACGACCCCATCTTAAGCAGCACACAAAAGCAAGCCCCCTTCCCCGGATGATGAAGCCTTTAGACTAGGGGTGTCGAACTCAATCAGAGAAGGGGCCAAAATCTAAAATCCAGCCTAAATCGCGGGCCGAATGGTTTACTGAACAGTCATAAACTGTCATTGTGATGGAAACGCAGTGGAGTGCAGTGATGACAGCGCGGTGCGGGCCACATTGCAAGGCCTGGCGGGACGGATTTGGCCCACGGGCCTTGTGTTTGACACATGTGCTTTAGACTCTAAAGTTTAGAGGAAAGAAGAGCAGAATACGCTTCCCTGGACTACAAAATGGACTATGAAGTGATCATTTACCTAATACAATATAGAGAGCAGAATCCTGTGTTGCTAATTCTGGCAGAGATCCAAGAGGCTTCCAGGGACTCAGAGTAGAGGGGATTCATCTAGTGCTATGCAAAACTGAAATATTCATGGCAGTTGTAAGTGAGAACTAGGACTGTTAGCTCTTCAACTGTATCTAATGCTTCTATGTATGCCCAGTACCTAGCACATTCTATTATCAAGATACAGAGGAAGCAATTAGTAAGTATTTCTGAAATAACTATTACCTCTCCATATTTATTACAGCACAGAGCACACTATAATGCGAATATTTATCTTCTACCTTTATCCAGGGCCCCTCCAGAGCTCCATGTTTCATAAGTCTTTGTATTCTGAACACCTACACATCCTGCATATAAGAAGCATTCAGTGTTTGATGAATAAATTCATAAAGATTTTCCTACAAACCCATGCAGAGGTGCAGTAATAAAAATAAAGTACAATAATAAGGAGCTCCAAGTGCATTCATTAAACTTCCAACTGCCTTCGTCTGTTTGGGCTGCTACAACAAAATATTGCAGCAAGGGTAGCTTATAAACAATACAAATATATTTCTCAGGGTTCCGGAGGCATGCTTGGGTTCTGGTGAGGGCATCTTCTGGTCACAGACTGCCCACTCCTCTGTCTTCACATGGCAGAGGGAGTAAGCTATACCTCTGGGGACTCTTATAAGGGCAGTGATCCCATCCATAAGAGCTTTGCCCTCATGACCTAACACTTCCAAAAGACCCCACCACTTAAAACTATAACCTTTGGCATTAGGTTTTCAACATATGAATTTGGAGGCACATGAACATTCAGACCATAACACCAACCATCCTAAGAAAGAGGGACTCAGAAAATCATGCACTTTTAGAACTAGAAGAAACACTAGAAGCTGAGAGTTAGAAATGAGGAAACTGAAGCTAAGAAACTAAAAGGACTTACTCTAGGTAACTTGTTTCACTGGCTGTAGATAGCCTTCAAATCCAGAGCTATTTTCATAACACTAGGGACTATGTTTTTTTTCTTGTTCCTCTCCCCCACTGCCTACCTGGGAGCCTCACATATTGTGAGTATTCATTAGCTAAATGAACAAATATGACCAGAAAAAAACAAGCAATTTGTGTGAAAGTCATAACTGTGAGATCACAGATTTTCTTAACTCCTTCAACTAAAACTTCTGGATCACTCAAGTTTAAGATGCTTGGATTTTGTAGTAAGATCAAGCTTCGGTGAACTGCTTTTTCTATAATTGTTCCAAAGAAGGAAACTATTAATATCTTTTAAAAAATAATCTTCTTTTTAGTATCAGAATAAGGATAGGAGAGAGGCAATGATGAATGTTAGACTCTCTAGATTATATTAAAACTACACTATTGATAGTCCCCACTTTACCATCTTCAGATAATTTATTGCTTGTACACTGTCTGTAGTTTCCTCATTATCTTGCAATTGCTCCAAAATTAAGTTAGTTTTTGCCAAAACAGAGAAGCGATTACTAGGATCTAATTGGTTTTGACAAGTAATCACAGGAATGTATTATTGACCAACCCTTAGATTTTAAAGATATAAAGATTGACATTGTCTTGCATCTATGTTACAGAATTTAATTTTATAATTTGACTGAGATAAAGGAAGAAAATGTGTTGAATTTTGGAGAGATTAAAAAAAAAAAAATTCTATGAGCCTGGCCAGTGTGGCTCAATTGGTTAGGCATCATTCTTCCTATGCCATGAAAAGTTGCTGGTTCCATTCCAGGCCATGGCACATACCTGTGTTACAGGCTCAATCCCCAGCAGGGGACACGCAGGAGGCAGCCGCTTGATTATGTTTCTCTCTTGTTAATATTTCTCTCTCTCCCTCTTCATTCTCTCTCTCTCTCTTTCTCTCCCTCCCTCTCTCTCTCTCTCTCTCAACAATAGAAACTTTTTTTTTTTTTAATTCTAGGGTTACTTTATTTGAAATACCCTAACTTTTGACTACTGTCATTTTTAAAAACCAGGCAGTCCTTACAAAGATCTCTTCTCTTCCCCAAACCCCTCATCTTGACACTGCTAAAGTACAAGAAAGTAGAAAACATGGACCTCACTGAAGCCTGTAAGTCAAGCATGTCAAACTCAAAGGCTAACATGGGCCAAATAATCAAGATTTAAGTTTATGTGGGCTGCAAAAAAACAAAAGCTTCAATTTTCATAAAAATGTAGACTTATTTCGATAGAGAAATGCTGAATACAAAGGGCTGAAATAAATGAGTAATCATTAACAAAAAATAATAGAAAGTTTTAATAAAATTTAATAGTTTTTCTTGAACATTAACTTACCAGACACTCAGTAACTGCACAATAAGCGTAATGCAAATAAACCAATTTTTCTTATTCTCCAAAAGAGAAATATTTCCTGTTGTGCACCAAACAAGATAGTACAAGACTAGTGATGTGGCAATCAAGTGCTAAAATATTCGCTGCTAGTATTAGTGGAAATGATGCGTCTACACATAAGGTGTGCAAGGGAAATGAATGCAACATGATTATAGTAACTAGTCATGAGCAAACACTGTAGTTTGTTATTAATAACTAGAGGCCCAGTGTATGGATTTGTGCACATTGAAAGAAAATTAGAAGGTGGCCGGCAGGGCAGGACTGGGCAGACAGCCTGACATGCTCTGGAGCCAACCTCCCGTGGTCCCTCCCCAGCCAGCTGCACCTGGGCAGCACGGGGACTCAACGGGCATCTGCGGAGGGAGCAGGGTTCCCTCTGACAGGTGGGGTCCCTTGGCCTGGCCTGCGGGGATAGGGCTGAAACCAGCAGTCTGACATCCCCAGACGGGTCCTGGAGTGCGAGAGGGCACTCTGCACAGTTGCTGTCACTTGGCACCTCCTGCGTTGAATGTGCTCCCTCTGGTGGTCAGTGTGCATCATAGCTACCGGTCAGACGGCTGCTTAGGCTTTTTATATATAAATATAATGTATAACAGGATATTGTAAAAATTAAGTTACAAAAAATTTATTAAAATGTTTCTTACATACCATTATATTGCCCCAGCCGCAAAAATATTCACTGTGGGCCATATGTAGCCTGTGAGCCACAAGTCTGACATGCTTGCTGTAAGCCTTTAATTCTCAATTGTTTTATAGGCTCCCAAGAAGGATCCTGTTCCACTCTTTTGTGCAGAATACAGTTTGAAAAACAGTTCTCAAGGACCACAAAAGACATAATCAAATCCAGTGACCCTTGCAATGAATTCAGACCTTTCTGCTTCTGGCATTGTAGACCATCTCTTTCCTTCCTGAAAACATTTCCTTCTTAGGTTTCTCTAACTCTTTTTTGGTTCTTTCTCCTCTCTGACAACTCCCGTTTCGTTTGGTAGTTCTGTATCTTCTTGTCCTCCTTAATCAGGTATGTTCTGGCCCTTTGTTCTTCCTACAGGAGAGTATCTTCCTCTCTTACAGCCTCATGATCTTTTCTTCATGCAAGACTCTCCAACCCAGTCTGACCAACCCTGCTTGACTCCAGTGCCTCCAGACATTTCTATTGGATGCTGTTATCTCAACATGTTCTAAAACCAACTTACCTCCTCCTAAAATTTTAGCTCCCTTCTGGTTTCTCTATTTCTGTAGATGATAATAAAATGCCCCTGGCTACTCAATGCAATCTCAGAAATATTCTTTACCTTTCTCTCATGACTGCTTCCTAAATTAGGCCACATGTGACCCTCCACAAGCCATTTTACCTTTTGACCCATAGTTCCCTCATCTGAAAGAGAGAAATTACACCTGGCAGGTCTGAAAAGATTATTTATGTATGTGAAAATGCCTACCTATTTAAATCAATGAATGCCTCTCTTCTCTTCAGCAACTCCCCATGGCCTCCAAACAGACAAAAAACTCTTTGAGGGTATATGTCATATTTCTATGTAAATAGTAGCTTCTATACAGAAGTAGCCTAATAAACATTCAGTGATGCTCATGGATAAGCAACTAAAGGAATAAATCTAGAGATACCAATAAAGAGTCATAAAACATAATCAAAATCAGGAGGAATGTTATCTAAGTCTCAATCAATCTACATGGTACTTGGCACCAAATAGGCTCTGGTAAACACCTGCTGAAAAAAATAAATGAGGTAGTCTTAAGCATCTAGCATTTATCTCTCTGTTATGAGAGGTAAAGAGAATAATGAGGAACTGGCTCTGTTCATGAGGAGCTACCTAAGTTTCCCTGTGGCCTACCTATAAGAGAGGTTAAGAGTACACATTTCTTGAAAAAAGCAAATAGTGTTCTTCAATATAGATTTGGAGCAAAAAATACTCACCTGTCAAAAGCACTGAACTCCAATGTTAAACGAGCTGGAAGCCCGGCAGAATCACCTACACAGAAGCATTATCACATTTTTAATCGTAAGTCATTAAAAGCAGCATTCAAAACAAAAATATTTGTGTGTAATTTTGTTCTCTTTGTTGAGCCCAAAGTGCCCCATCAAATTTGTGGTTATCCAAACTAAACAGAGGCTTAGCTTAAAATGACAGCTTTTGTGAATTTGAGACATTTTCTAAGGATATAGAAAAAAATTTAATTGGGAAAAAATATTTCTAGTCTTCTCCCCCAGCAATAGTAAGTAATCAGTATTAATTCTTTGGATTAATAGCTGGGGTTTTACAGCACCCTTTCCTTTTCGCACAATAGGGAAAAAAGAGGTAAAAATAAACTTGGGTCAAAAGTCAGGAAATAAAAATAGAAACTGGTAAAGACCATTAGCTGTAAAAGACAAAAGTATCCTTGCTAAAAGAAAGCTGACCCTATACTGGAGGGCAGAGAATATAACAGAAGATGATGGAAGATGGAGTTTAATATTGCCTACCATTGAAGTAATAACCCTTAATGTCCTTGGGAGCTTCATCCAGCCGATACTCATTCAGCTTCTTCTGGGTCAACTCATGCCAAAATCCAACATCCAAGGCACTGCTAAAGGGAGCAAACTGCAATTTAAAGAGTCCAGGATCCCCCGTAGCTGCTGCCATTATTTGGTGCCTACTGAAAAACAAAATAGAACACAACTAAATAGCACAAAACATGGTAAAACATTTGTAATAATGCTTAATTAAAACAAACAAAAGAAAGGAAGTAAAACCGTTTCTATTCCCACATAACATAATTTTAAATAGAGAAAATCCTTAAGACTCAACTAAAAAATGGTTAGATCTAATAAATGAATTCAGTAAAGCTGCATAATATAAAACTGACATGCAAGAATTAGTAGTGTTTCTAAGCACTAAAAATGTATTTTCTGAAAAAGAAACAAAGAAATCTACCCCAATTTATGCTAGTATCAAAAACAATAAAATACTTAGGACGAATTTAACTGAGGAGGTGAAAGATCTCTACTGAAAACTATAAGACATTAATGAAAGAAATCAAAGAAGACAGAAATAAAAGGTATACTGTGTTCATGGATTGGAATAATTAATATTGTTAAACTATCAATACTATCAAAAGCCATCTACAGATTTAATGCAATCTCTATCAAGATTCCAATGGCATGTCTTACAGAGATAGAAAAAAAATTCTCCTAACATTTAGATAGAAGCACAGAAGACCCCAAATAGAAGGAAAAAACTCCTAATAAAAAAGAACGAAGCAAAACGTACCACACTGGCATAAAAACAGACAAATAGACCAATGGAATAGAACTGAGAGCCCAGAAATAAACCCTAGCACATACAGTCAATTACTACTTGACAAGGGAGCCAAGAATATTCAATGGATAAAAGATAGGTTTTTTTTAATAAATGGTGCCGGGATAATTGGATATTCATATATAAAAGAATAAAACAGGACATATATCTTATACCACTCACAAAAATTAACTCAAAATGAATTATAAACTTAAGTATAAAAATTGACACCATAAAACTCCTAGAAGAAAACATAAGATTAAAGACTCTTAGCATGGATCTTTGTAATGATATTTTGAATATGACACATAAGCACAGGCAAAAAATAAAATAAAATAAAATAAAATAAAATAAAATAAACAAGTGAGACTACATAAAACATCTGCACAACAAAAGAAACTATCAACTAAATGAAAAGACAACCTACAGAATGGGAAAGTATTTACAAACCATATATCTGGTAGGGTTTAGTATCCAAAGTATATAAAGAACTCATACAACTCAATAGCAAAAGAACAAATGAGCAAAGGCCCTAAATAGACATTTCTCCAAAGAACATATATGAAAGGCCAACAGGTATAGAGGAAAATGTTCAACATCACAAGTCATTAGGAACTTGGCAGTTCCAAAAGGTGCGGATTAATAAGTTCCCTTCACTTTCCATCCTGTCCAATTGCTCCATCACCAAATTCATATTTCTGCAGCAGAATGTATAAATAGGCACACTAGATGGAATAAATTAATTAAAAAGACCACTCAGAGAGATTTTTGCCTCAGTTTTATGCTAAGTCTTCCAAACTTGTTGGATTTTAGAATTAGAGATAAGGAGCTTTGGACTGATAGTATCTATTGATACATGAAAAATGCAAAGTTAGTATTACATAAAAGTGCTAAAAATCAACATGGAGTGCGGAGCAGAGCAGGGAGAAAGCTTCTGTGAAGGAGTAGGGTGTTGAAGATGGGCAGAGGGCTGAAGGAAAAAGACAGGGAACTGCTGTGAGAAAAACCAGGAAGCATGAGCCTACCTCTTCTTAGTAGGAGGGTTACAGCAATGCACACACAAAGCTAACTGAGTTACACAGGACAAGACGGAGAAGGCTTCAAAAGTAAGGCTAGTTCTGGCCAGGTAGCTCTGGTTAGTATTTTGAATTCACACCAAAAGATTGTGGGTTCAAAATACTCGTCAGGGCACGTACCTACATTGTGGGTTTCGTTCCCAGGGCACAAAAACTGACCAATGCCAAAACCGGTCTGGCTCAGTGGATAGAGCGTCGGTTGTGGACTGAAAGGTCCCAGGTTCGATTCCGGTCAAGGGCATGTACATTGGTTGCGGCCACATGTCCGGTAAGGGGGTGTGCAGGAGGCAGCTGGTTGATGTTTCTCTCTCATTGATGTTTCTGGCTCTCTATCCCTCTCCCTTTCTCTCTGTAAAAAAATCAATAACATATATTTAAAAAAACAACACACACACAAAAAAAAAAAAACCTGACCAATGTTTCCCTGTCACATCAATGGCTCTCTGTCTCTCTCTCTCTCTCTCTCTCTCTCTCCCATTCCTCTGTCCTTCCCTCTAAAAATCAATGAAAACATATCCTTGGGTGAGGACTTAAAAAAAAAAAAAAAGAATTCTGGAGTGGGAAGCAAGTAACAGTTTGGAACAGGAAATATGACAGAAGTCTATGGTGGCAAAATGACTTTGAAGGAGGCAGGAAGAGAGTCCTAAACCAGTGATTTTCAATCTTTTTTTCTAATGGCACATATAAACTAACTACTAAAATTCTGCAACACACCAAAAAATATATTTTTTACCGATCTGGAAAAAATAGGTATAATTTTGATTCATTCACACCAGACAGTTACTGTTGTCATTTTTTAGATGTTACTATCTAGAGGTCAGTATTCCTGACTAAATAGTCAGGTATTGCAGGTTTTAAAAAAGGATCTCTTACCCTTTGTGACAGCATGGATGGTTCTGAAGATTATTACGCTAAGCAAAATAAGCCAGCCATTAAAAGACAAATATCACATGATCTCACAAATATGTGGAATCTAATGAGCAAAATAAACTGATAAACAAAATAGGTCCAAAGACATGGATGCATGGAAGAGACTGATAGATCTCAGAGAGGAGGGATGTTAGGGTGAGAGAAGGAGGTGAACCAGAGAATTTCTATGCATATATGCATAGCTGATGGACACAGACAGTAGTGTAATAAAGGCCTGGAATGGGACAGAGGTTGAGTGGAGGGGGAGGTAAATGGGGGGTGGAAGGTGGGAAATAGGGGACATTTATAATACTGTAAATGATAAAAAAGTAAATTTTAAAAAATCAATCATTATCAAAAAAAGATTAAACCATATCCGCACATTGCAGAAGGAAGGAAGGAAGGAAGGAAGGAAGGAAGGAAGGAAGGAAGGAAGGAAGGAAGGAAGGAAGGAAGGAAGGAAGGAAGGAAGGAAGGAAGGAAGGAAGGAAAGGGGGAGGAAGGGAGGAAATGTTTGAAGAGAGTATTGACAAATGGTGGCAAAGAACAAGAAGAAGAAGAGAAGAAGGAGGAAGAAGAGAAGGCTTGGGGGAGGAGAAGGAGGACGAGGATGAGGAGGAGGAGGAGGAGGAGAAGGAGGAGGAGGAGGAGGAGGGGGAGGAGGAGGAGGAGGCGGCAGTGGCGGCAGCGGCGGCCTGATCAATGCCATTGGATTTTCATTTTTAAAAGGAGCTCAGTGGTAGCTTTCTAAAGTGGAATTTGAGGGTAGATTATTAAAAACAGAACATGCTGTAAGAGTAGGATCAGCATGGGAAAATAACCAACTGTGTGTCCCGGCATGTTCCAGAGGGCAGTTAAGTTTGCTACTGGATTCTTCATGGGTGGTTGTTTTTCAACAGGCTTAATATGTTTGTCATATTTAAAAAATTGCTTTGCCAACAGAAATCCAATTAAGAATTAATAAAAATTTCACAATAGGGACTTAACAAACTCAGAAAAACAAGTAGAAAATAAGAAGTGGGAACTATAATAATTAAATATTTTTCTAAATAATCAATAAGCTTAGTCAATCACAAAGGAGAATGCATCACTGTCTTTAAAACTCTCTGCTGCCTTAGTATGGACCTGCAACATCCTGTACCAGACAATAGCATCTCATACCTCCACTCCCCACAGAAATGTGTTCATGGGCCACTGATATCAGTCTCTTGTTAACCAACCAACCAACCAATTACTAACCAAATCCTTACTAGACTTAAGACACAGAGAGTCAGGTATCATCCCTGCCTTGGCCTGCCAGTTTCTCAGCCTTATGCCTTTGCTGAGGCCCCTTGGAAACCTCTCCCCATCTACCAGGAAAATTTCTCCTCATCTCATGAGATCCTTTATGAAGTGTTCATTAAAACCCATAGTCGAGGGAGAAACCAAGATAGTAGCATAGGTAAAAATCTATACTGCTGCCTTGCACAATAATTTCAAAACTGCAACTGGAAGACAGAGCAGACATCGTCCAGAACCACTGGAAAGCTGGGTGAGTGGAAATTCTAAAACTAGAAGGAAAGAGAAAAGCACACTGAGACTCAGAGGAGCTGTGGAGGTGCAGAGCCCCGGGCATACAGAAAGGGCCGGTGGCAAAATATGAGGCTGGCTTACTTGCCGTGCGCAGAGAGGGTGGGCAGCAAGCATACAGCTAGCTTTCTCGTTAGGGAGGGAAACAAAACCTCCAGACTGCACTGAAACCCAGCTCAGGGTGAGACTTTGGGTACCAGACTCATTCGGGAAGAAACTGGACTGAATCACGAATGACTTTTTCAAGCCGGCGGGAGACACAAGCTCCCGACTGCTCTGAACTCCAGTTCTGGGTGAGACTCTGGAGACCCAGACACATATGGGGAGAAACTAGACTGTCTGGTAGCGGGATGGAACTCAAGGGCGGCTTTCTCTCAGAGGTGCTTGCAGAAATTACCAAGGGACACTGATACCCAGGGCCTCTTAGGGCTGGGCTGATGGGAAGCTATTGCAGTTTGCTCCACCCTGAGATTCCATCCCATCCAAGCTGTGCACAGAGGCTTTTGCATATGAATGGCCTGGTCCTCTGAAATCTAAATTTATCTATCAAAATGCAGCTGAATCAGAGAGACCTAGAACATCCAAAAGAAGGCCCAAGGCTCCACAGCAGCTTGCATTGCTTCACAGCTGGGCCTCATCTGGGCACCTCCAAAACCCAGAGAGGAATCTGCAGATCTCTTCATAGCTCCTGCTGGGTGGCCTCAGCCAGAGGCTAAATTAGCACCTCCTTTGAGATCCAAGAGCCAGTGTACCCAGGGGTCAGAGTAGAACCATCCAGATTACAACTCCTCAGATCCATAAGGGA